ATGTAATATGTGTGATGTTAGTAATGGAAATGTTTTCTGAATATTAAACTTTCTTGTAGTAATTGAACATTGAAGTGGTCAGCGTATGAAATGACCATACAAGAAGTGGAGTTAGAGACCTCTGCACTAAATTATTATACCTGATCAGGAGTTTTAGCTATATCATCATAAATGTTTTCATCACATTAAAATCACATACTCAATTCTGATAGATATGACTAAAGATAGTGTCTCTGGGTCACAAAGTGTGTTAGCTGTGATTTTGGTGGATTCAGATAGACCGTACACTACAGTTCATAATAACACAGCTATCAAAGTGTGTGATCCTGTGTGTATATAGGAGCTCCTTTTCTTTCTATACAGTTATATCTAAATGCTTGGTAATGGCTGCTATCAGAATAAGTTATGTGATAAGGTTTGATAAAAAGTGGCAGTACAGCTGTTGTTTTAAATACAGCTCAAAATCCTAAACGTGCACAGGATTTCACTGTTAGTGCAACAACGGCCACATAAAGACATTTTAGAGTATAAACAACTGGTAGGAGGTGAAATATTACAGCCTGATTTTCTTTAAATATGAACATTACATTGTTGTGTTTAATATGCTAGGCTAAAAGTTTCGGTGCCACCGGCTGAGCTAACTTTAATGTCCACAGAACATAAAACTACCAACAGATGGCTACAGCTACACGGTGAAACAGGGATGTTAGTGTCGTTTAGTAACCAGCTGCCCAGCTAACACATGGACCACAACGGAGGACAAACAAAGGTAATGTAGTGTTACTTGAGTCAGTCGGATTCACTCAGGAGGAAAACAAAGCCAGGACGTTAGCCTGTTAGCCTGTTAGCTGACTAACACTAGCTGGTACTCACCTACAGACCGGTAACCTATGACAGCAATCTTTCGATGTTTGGGTTGAGGCATTGTGGTGACAACGGTGATCGATAGGGTTTGATAATGGAGCACGCCACCTAGTTTTACTACCTAAACAAACTTTATCGCCACATTCGTCTCACGTCACGTGACAACAACAAACTTTTCGGAGCTGCCGCTCGAGCTCTGTGCTGGGCCTCGAGCTGAAGTTCAGAGTTTAAAGTAAAGTTACAACAAGTACAACTTGTACTTATCGCGAAAACCGGCCTATGTGTGTATCTGATGTAGTAATCGATATCGATCGATGGTTTGAAATGATGAAATTGTCGTTCCAGCGGAAATTACAAACGAAAAAAAAAAAAAACGCTTGTTCAACGCGATTACGATTTGCAAGTCAAAGTGACGGAAACTGTCATTGTGTAAGCACACCGTCGTAAAACCAGCGAGTGCGTCAGAAGTGACACAGCCGGGCGCTCTGGTCAGTGTGTACAGTAGAGGTCACTCTTTGTTTCTGACTCACTCTCTTTTTTACTCTTTTCCAGACTCACCTTTAGGACGCAATGCTCGGTCCTTTATTTAAATAAGAGTGGGTTTCTATTGTTTCCCGTATGTAACAATGCGACTTATGATTGTTGAAATGTAAACCACCCCGGACGATTGTTTTTGATCCATGAATACTCATCCGAGAAGATGCTGTTGGGATTAGTTTTTAGGAAATGAAATAGTTAAATGTCTACTGTGTGTAGATACATACCATCTATCTGCCCTGAGCTAAGTCATCATATTATCTGATCCTCTCATGTGTAGTGAAAACCACAAGTAAAATAAAACCTCTAATTTATAGGCTACCTCTCATTTTACTGGGCATGGACATCTTACAACCTCTGTTTGTCAGTGGGCATTGAGCACTTCAGGTGAAGACTCAATAATAACATAGAAAGAGGAGCGTGCTTATTAATGCACAACATTTATTTTCTTCATCAATAAGTTAGGTCTGGGCACAAAAATGCCCGAGCTGACTACCTTTAGTGTTAAAATCTGTGAATATCCTGGCACTGAATGCGTATCTCACCTTTTAGTTGTCTAGTTCTTCACCATCCCTGCTCCTGTCTCTTTCTCAGTCACATGTACTTAAAATCAGGTACCATGTTAAAATACATTCTCTTTAGAAAAAATAAAAGATAAAAATGTATCTGTGAATGAAAGCTCTCTGGATAATGATATGGCCTCATGAGATACATCCAAGGTAAACAACAGGGTCCCTTCTCCCACAAATATCTGCTTATGATTAATGATTATCTTTACTGGTGAATATGAGACAATTCAAACAGTCATTGCATTTAGCACACTGTTTAAATATCACTGTGGAAAGTAACTAAGTACTGTACTTGTACTCGAGTATTTCTATTTCCTGCTGCTTTATACGTCTACTGCACCTTACAGGTAAATATTGTACTTTTTACTCTACCACATTATTCTGACAGCTTTAGTTAGATGTGTTTATTCATGTAGGAGAATCCAGTCAGAATTGATTTATATGATTTCCAATGACAGATAATAAATGAGGTTCATAGTCTGTAATTCAGGGATTTTTATTTTTCCAAAATTGCATACATTGATTTCATAACAATAACCCTTTCTAACTGTTAGTCCCTGTGTGTGATCCTGTCTATGTGCGTCTAAAAAAAGACAGATATAGAAGTATAGTTTGTTCCCCATATCCTCAAATTTAGCCTCCAATTGTCTGTTTTTCAATTACATTAATATCCCCAGCACTAAGCATTACTTAGCACCATTTTTTTGTAATGTGTTTGAGCTGTGGATAAGTCGTCAGAACATCGGGTTGTTTGAGAACTTCAAGAAAAGAAGAGCAGGTTTCTTGACCTTTACAAATCACCTGATCGATCAGGTTAGTAATAGTTTTTTCTGGCTGTGAGATATGCTTCATATTCTGATACTGTCTGTCAGTGATGATTTGTTTGGCATGTACGTGCTGCAGAATGAAGGAGTGATCCGCCATCAGGCAGACAATGAGTTCCACCTTGTGCTCAGTGATTATTTTTACAGCAGGGCCCTGTAAAAGACAACAAGTTATGTTTAGAGAATGATAAATGAATGAGGGTTTCACTGTTTAACTGAGCTACAGAATATTCTAAATGAATTGACTTTTCTGTCACTTTTCCTATACGCACTCTGGTAATTATAAAACTAGAGCTAAACTTTAGCTTAGCATAAAGACTGGAAACAGTCAGGCCTACCAGCACTAAAGCTTACTAACACATTATATTTCTTTTGTTTAATCCGTACAAAAACCAAAGTATGTACAATTTCCATTGTTACAGTGTTACAGAAGCTGACAGGCATGATGAGTCACAGGTGAATTTTTTCAAAAGGAGGGTTTTAATTACCCAAAAGAGGCAGCAAACTATTTTAAAATATGCAATTTAACATAAACTGAAGAGACTAAACTGACCAAAAATCAATCATTAAAACTACAGTTAATTGATATACAAGTACTGTAAAGCTGTCATAAAGGATTGTGTGTAACAAACTACCAACAAACCTATCATTGTGCTTCCTACTGTGGAAAGGTTTTACCACTATTGAATGTCCATATACTCAACCTGAGAGGAAGATGGAGTCTCATCTACTGTTCCTGAGAGGAGAGCAGTGATAGGATTTACTGAATTGACCCGCACAGAAAGTTTTCTTTCATTGCTTTGATTCGTGAACGAGAGACTGAAAAAAGACAAATATATAATGGACCACTTGTAATAAGTTGGCAAAATGTCACCTGCACGTATTTTTGATGATGATGTTTTCACTGTGAAATCAATATTGCCGACAATAGTGACATCTGATATTGTGTCAGCACATATTACACTGCCATCGTGTGCACTGTAATCTGCTGGGGCAGCTTGTCCAACATTCCCTAAGTAAATACATAAAAAGATGTTAAAGATAGTAAATAATAGATAATAATAATCAGAATTCTGTCAAAATGCTCAAACCAAAGCAATGCTGTATGATAGGTTTTACTTTTAAAACAAGAACAGCCATACACTTAACTTAACTGCAGCAATTTATTTTACAACTTTCATTTTATAACTTCATTGTACAGGGAATGCTTGAAAATATGATTTCTCACCAGATGGACGACGTCGTGGATCACTCTCAGTTTCGATTGTCGTGGAGAAGGCGTTTCCTTTTACATTCCGTATTTCTCTGACGGTCACAACACTTTCACCATCAGCAACCACCGTGGGTGGTCCTGTAAATATTAAAGAAAATCAGAAAATTGTGTCTTTCTGAAACTTTTACTTGTAAAAGAGAAACTTTTTGTCTTAATTTAATACAATGTTGAGGCTCACTGACAATATATACCATACAGACAACAGCTGTATACAGGAATTTTATTTTCAAAAGCACTCATCTTGTCGAATGTGCTTTACTTCTGTTCTTCTAATCATTCATAGAAAATTCAGACACTGTTTAAGGATGTAATCTGGGTCACCTGAAGGCTGTGAAGAAAATACGTCCTGCATCGCTGACTTCAGCTTGTCCATGATCTGCAATGTGCCAGAAAATTTTGGAAGCCATATATCACTGTATAAAGTACAAAAGTCTGAGGCCACTTGGGGACATTATTATGAAGTTACTGAGCAGGGAAGCACAAAAAGTAGCCAAAATCAACTGAACCATCACACTTTATAAGTAGTAAGATTATGTAAAACACCCAATTCTTAATAATTTACCACAATGCTGTCTGAAGATATTTCATCTAACATATAAGAAATGACTGCTAGTACAAAATACACGTTCATGTGTTTTTGCCTTAAATTGTATCTGTGTTTTTGAATGTTTTCTCCATGTAATAGTCCAAATAAGAAATAATCAACACATGTATGTGAATATCCACTACCTTAACTTGAAATTATATTTAACAGTAGTAGAAATATGAATCGGTAGACTAACACCGTAACTGAATACTTGATCCTGATCCAGACCCACATCTGAAGACACAAACAGCGCACATAGCCTACCTTATTTGCTGGAACTTATCGTTCTGTAGTTTAAAAACTGCAGGTAGCCGATAAAAATAGATCAAAAGTTGAAACGGGGTGAAATAAGTTGACGACTTATAGTCCACAGAAAGCAAAAGCTGTGTTTGTGAAGTCATACAGTGCACCGGATATATCTCACTTCCTCCTTGTTCCACTCAGTTGGGAGGCATGTATAGACACGTGGTGTACACAGGCGGTGTACAGTACAGTTTAACATCATTGTAACTCACAACGCTTTCAGTCTGAACACTGAGGCCCCTTTTTCTTAAGTATATCTTTATTATTAATTATGTGTCACATCTTATCCTCTTTTTCACTAAATTAGTTAAATCCAGTTCTGTTCAAGATTCTGGAACTTCTGTGTTATGTAGTTTTGAGTGGAACCACAATAATCAGATGCATAATCAGAGGGCGTTGCACAATGCACAACGACCTGTAGAATATGACACGGCCCAAGGAAAACCGGTTATCTCTTGGTTCTGGATGGGAACCAACTTTTCAGGTTTTTTAATCACTTTGTTTTTGTTGGAAATACTCTCACATTCATTTGCTAAAAGTGGAAAGTTTCTCTGTGATCACTGAGATTTTTAAGGGGCGGGGCTACCAGCATTGTGATTTGTGACATCACAAATAGCTTGCACGTCAACCCTGGTCCAGTATGCAACTTATACAAGTGTGATGTAGATTCTTGAAGCCACCAGTGCACAAACACTGAGAATGGACTTTACAGTGAAGTGGGAGACGTCTGTCTGTGTGCAGCAGGAAAACAAACAAAATATGCATATTTCTAATCTATATATAGATTCTTAAATGTTTAATGAGGTAGACGTAGTAGATGCCCTTTTTAAGGATTTTAATGTGAAAATTTCGAGACACAACTTATTGTTCCAAGCAGACTATTTGTATATGTCTTAATACATGTCAGGGGATCTATAAGTACAAGTACAAAATTATAAGGAAGGATCTCCATTTTATGCTACCTCTTCTCCTCTGCCTTTTAGTTACTAGTTACTTTGCAGATTAATACAAAATATAGATAAATAATAAATTGTGTTATTACAGGTTAAACTACCCAACAGTGTATAAAGAAATTAAAATAAGATCCACCTTTTTCAACTGCTAAATAAGTGATGATTACGCATGAATACATCACTTATTATAATCCAGTGATATAATAATATACAGAAATGGCCTATTCTGCATTATGAGTACCTTAACTTGTGGCACTTTAAGTACTTGATGTTAATAAGTTAAGTGAGATGTTTAATACAGGAGTTTTACTTGTAATGGAGTATATTTAAACTGTAGCGTAACTATTTTTACTTAAGTAAAAGATCTGAATACTTCCTCCACCACGGCCACTGATCTGACAGTAAAGCATCACAATGACAGAATATGTTTGGTTCAATATAAATTAACCAACAGTAACAAGTTGGATGTGTACAACATACAGTAATGTATGGAGTATTTTTTCTTTTAAAACAACTTTAAAATAAAACAAAGGATGTCTACTGCAGCTTTAAAGTACCATTTGATGCCAATGTCTTCATTTAAAGAAGACAGCTACACAAATATAAAACACATTTCTATTTGTGTCCGTGATGGCTGTTTGTGTGTGTACGTGCTGAATTATTTACACATTAATGTTGTGTAGTACATTTTGCATGCAGATTCCCAGTTCAATGTGAGCCTCCTAGCTGCTGGTGGTTGCCATGCAGCCACATTTGAAATGTAACCGGAAATGGTTTGGAGCTGGAGGCAAACGCTACCGGGAGGTGCTGCCGTCATAAACAGGCAGATGAAAATACGGAATAACCTCACTGAAGCGGCCCTGACAGGGACAGGTAATGCATCGGTCACTGGGACAACCGGACAACTAGTGTACTACTTTTACAGTGCACTGCCTCCGCTGCGTTGTGTTTTTAAAGTCAGCTTCAAGGCTTCAAGGCTCGCTGGCTAACCAATAGCTGCCTAGCCGTAGCATTGGGGAGGCGTTGGCTGCCATAGCAACCGCTGAGGAAACATTGGCCGTTAGCTGAGAGACTTCAGGCCAACGCTGGTTTGTTATGCTAGCGGTGAACGAGACGCCGTAGAAACGCGAATGTACAATTCAGCGTCAGTCGGCCACTTAATGTCACCACGAGTCAGCGTTGCATGCTTGGCGTCATCGCCCGTGTTGCTTAATGTTGCTCCATGTTTTTTTTAGTCAGCTGTCGAGGAGAGCAAAGTGTTGGAGTTAGTGCTTAGTGCGGCTAACCTGGCTAACGGTAATTCCCATCACATGCAGGCGGCTAACGTTAGCCGCTGAGGCCGACCCGTACACTTAACACAGCGCCATCGTTATGTAAACGGCGAAGTGAACGCTTGTTTTCCTCTCTTGCGGTCTGAATTTCAGACTGATGTGTTTCAGATGAGCCTAACGCGATGTTAGCTGAACATTAATGGCTTGACTGTTACTTTGTTAATGTTGTCATGGGTCAATTGTGAGTCCAGCAGCTGATCTGAGGCTGCCGCGGTTAGACTTGGAGCTAACTCAGCTGCTAGTTAACGAAACATGTTTTCATATCAGCTAATCTTCATCATATTTACTGCTGCTGGGAGCTGATGTTACAGTTACATATTGGTCCAGTTGAGAGTCAAACTCACACCAACAAGTTAACTGTTTCTGTGGTTTTGTGTTCATGTTTTGGTCATTGAAAGCCGTTCAGTTGTGGAAATACCAGTTTAACTTGTCATTTTATAATAAGGTGTCAAATTGGACTTATAGATGTAACTGTTGTATGTTTTCCTGATTCATTAATGGGGTTGCAGTGTTGGTGATTACACAGTTGATTGTTATTGTGTTTAGATGTTTTTGAATTAACCGGCCCCTGTGTTACTGTGTGAGAGAGATAATCCAGATTGATCTTAACCTGTCTCATAACTGTCCTTTTAGTATTCAGCTTGAACTAGTATGGATGTTGAGGACTGCAATGGCCGGTCTTACATATCAGGTAAGACTGGTTTATGAAATCACAAATATACTTACTTTCAACCGTTGGCACTTTATTCAAATCACAGATCATGCTTTTGTTTCCTCTTTGGTTTTAGCTAGTGGAGACTCTTCAATGGAAAGAGAGTTTTCTGGGGCCCTTGGAGGTCCAACAGTGAGCACCCCAAACAGCAAGGAGACCTCTCCTAGTCGCTCCCTCAGTGGTCAGTGAGAATAACATTAAATGGATGGTTAATCAAATCCACGACTCTTAATTATTTCACAAATTACTTCTTGATTAGTTCCAAAAATATGATTTGACATATCACAGTGATATCTACAATGACTGTGATATGTCAAATGTTTTAAAAGGTTACACACACGTCTTTAACTATATTCTTCTGATTACATTTCATACATCCAGAATGTGAGGCAGCCCTATTCTCATCGCACAAGTAATAACATGTAACCCTGGCAACATGCTGGTTCGTTTAAGACCCTCTTTATGTTTGCATCTCTGCTTCTGTAGCCAACTCCATTAAAGTTGAGCTGTACAGTGATGAAGACCCAGGTCGCAGTACTGAAGATGAAAGAGGGGAGCGGGTAGAGGAAGGGGGTCCAGAACAGGGATCTGAGGCTGTGGGAGTCTACAGGGAGCCCACCAACCCTGACATCATGCCAGCAGGAGCCACCAGAATGCCAAATGGAAAGCTCAAGTGTGACATCTGTGGGATGATCTGCATTGGACCTAATGTTCTCATGGTGCACAAACGCAGCCATACAGGTGACTGATGAGTTTAGTTTAGATAAACCTTCTCTGTGAGAAAACTTACTTTCTGTTTGCTTTTTGTTTAGGAGGTTAGGTCAGATACAGAACGCGGGGTTTGGGCATAAAATTGGAGTGGAAATTGTGATTATGTCTCATACACAAGTCCTGAAAAAATTATTCTGGGTATATGAAAATAAAAACATTTTCATATTGTTATTCTAAACCTGTCCTACTCCAAGCCGATAGCTCACCTGGTAGAGAACGCGCCCCGTGTAGGCTCCTTACCACAGCAGCCTGGGTTCGATTCCAACCTGAAGCCCTTTGGTGTATGTCGTCTCCCCTCTTTCACTCTCCCCCCTTTTCTGTCTTTCTTCACCTGTCCTATTGAATAATATCAAAACATACCTTTAATACAGCTGTCAGCGGTATGTCATCAGAGCAGCACCATACTGTGACAGAAATAAAGGGGGAATGGTGAAAATGTATTTTCTAAAGCAGAGAGGTCCGTGACTAACATGAAAGGCAGACAAGGGGATACTTAAGACGAGAGATGACTTTCAGACGCAACAGAGGATGATGCTGCATAAAGAGCCTAAGTCAGCTCAGCAAGTGAAACAAGTGAAATGAACAAACTATGCTACAAAATTGGCGAATGGCACAGACTCTCTTAAATCCGTCGTATGTGGCACTAAAGAACAGCTCTGCTTGTGAGAGTGATTCATTTTGGTTGAGGCCCAATGTGCCAGATACTATAGATGTACTTGGAAGTTGGGTTGACAGGTTTGATCTATCCTCAGGTGAGCGACCATTCCAGTGTAATCAGTGTGGCGCCTCCTTCACTCAAAAGGGTAACCTGCTCCGCCACATAAAGCTGCACTCAGGGGAGAAGCCCTTTAAATGTCCCTTCTGCAGCTATGCCTGTCGAAGAAGAGATGCGCTTACTGGCCACCTTCGCACTCACGCAGGTGGGAGAGATTCAAGCCTGATACTTTTTTTCTTATCATAGCGTACAATGACTAATAATGTTATCTTCCCACTTTGTCCCCAGTGTCCTCTCCGACCGTTGGGAAGCCGTATAAGTGCAGTTACTGTGGCCGTAGTTACAAGCAGCAGAGCACCCTGGAGGAGCACCGTGAGCGCTGCCACAGCTACTTGCAGAGTCTGGAGTCGCAGCAGCCATCCAGTGCACAGAATCCAGGTAAGGTTTATGGCATTGATGGAGATGTCAGAAGTAAACAACAGGAGAGACGGTAACCTAAATCACAATATGGTGTTTTAGTAGCGTCTGCCACAATGCCCCTCACTTAGTTTATTTTCCAATAGTTGTTTTAGATTATAATTAAAAAGCCGCATACAATTTATTTAAACATTTGGGATAAATGCTGTTTAGGTAACACAAAACCCCCAAAAAATAACTTTACGATTTGTTTGTACTCTGTGCAGGAGAGGAGATGAGAGAGTTAGAGTTTATACCAGACTCTCTACTGCAGCCATCCTCAGACAAGATGGCATTTATCGATCGGCTCGCCAACAGCATCACCAAACGCAAGAGATCCACACCACAAAAATTTGTAGGTGAGCATTTGGTGTCAGTGTGGACAGGTTGACAAAACAGCGAAAGCAGCATTAGTTGCTTGAATTGAAAACCACTCACAATAATACTGATCGTTTTGTGCTGGTGATGTGACCACACTTTAAATTTTTTATGTATGTATGATTTGACAGAGATTCAAACCGAATGTCAAAGTGAATTAGGAACGTCTGGGCTTTGTTTTGACGTTCATTGATTACATTCGCATGTAGCTGGTGCTGGAGAATTGTAATATATAACATGGATACAGGCTCAGGGCAAAGAGTATAATTACACAATTATAACTTTTTTTGTCTTCTGACCTGCCACCCTGTCTGGAGAAACCGGTTCGACCTTTGACCAGATTTGATGGTATCCATCTGAATCCAGTCCAGTTATATAAATAAAATGCTTTTGGGATTTAAGGAAGGAAATTAAATTAAAACTTGATTAGACGACTTTACAACCTAATTACGGCATCTAGAATGAAAAACTTGGCAGGATGGTGATTTACCTACGAAACATTGCACACATACAGTTACCACACTTACCATATTCTATTTTATTGTATATAGTGTATATGATTTATTCTATTTTATTCCCTTTTTTTACTCTTTGCACTACATTCCCCTAAACTCAAACCTATCCTACCTATCTAACCTTATCTTATCTTATCTAACCTGGGCGAGCTGCCTGCCCCATAGTAATCTTCTTTTCTTTTTAAAGTTGCAGTTTTTACGTCTTCCATAGAACAGTGTCATAAGATTGTGTTTATTTTTTGCAGGACAGAAGCACATACGCCTCAACCTTGCAGATGCACCTTATGAGCTCAGCACTGGTTTGGATAAAGACAGGGAGATGCACGCAGGGGACCTTGAATCCCCGCACTTTACTGGTCTTGGAGGTGAATACGCCGGTGTAGCAGGTAATGGAGGAGGCGGGGTATCAGACACACTGAGACCTGTACACCTTTCTCACCCTTCATGTTTATCAGAACTCAGGCCCATCCACAGCTCCATTCACACCCCTGTCGCTCTGGGCCCGAGGCTGGATTGTACCGGGACTGGAGCTGGGCTGGGAGCTGCAGGTGTAGGGGGGAGAGAGGCAGCAGAGGGTCATGAAGACCTGCCTGCTGGACGAAGTCACGCACCATCACCTAGCAACGGTTGCCAGGACTCTACAGACACAGAGAGCATGCCGGACGAGCCGTGCAACAGCACTGCTCCGACTCTGCACAGTAACAATGGCCATCATCTTCTCCACTCCAACAACCATCACGCGGCGCCTCCTCCCATTGCACACCACAGGAGTCGGGACAGACACAGTCCCAGTCACGCCAAAGACAGGGAGGTGGAAAGAGAAGATGGAGGCCACTCTGGAGCCCTCCCACCTCCTGCCCTCGCTGCGACTCCCAGCTCACCTACAGCGCCCTCCTCCACCTCGAGGGAGGCTTTTCGGGTTGTAGACGGGGAGGGGCGAGCTGTGCGCTCTTTCCGTTGCGAGCACTGCCGCGTGCTTTTCCTGGACCATGTCATGTTTACCATCCACATGGGCTGCCACGGTTTCCGCCAGCCTTTTGAGTGTAACATCTGTGGCCACCGCAGCCAAGACCGCTATGAATTTTCTTCACACATCGTCCGTGGGGAGCACATCCTCGACTGAGGATAAAGGGTGGACAACCGGCTTCACCTAGAGCTATTTTTACACTGAGACAAGGACCTGGCTGGGTTTGGTCTGCACATGAGCTAAGGGAGATACCGATGATATGAAACTGAATATTTCAAACGGGCAATGGTACAGTTAACATGTACCAACATGAATGAGAAGCTCATATGTGTGTTTCTCAAATTATAACAGTGGTCCTTGTTGTTTTCAATGCACTTTCAACAATGAATCCATTTAAAATGCACTTTTAATCAAATGTATTCTAAAGTAGATGGAGAGCCAATGCACTTTTTTATCCGCGGATGTGCCTTGCTCCAAAATTCAGGATTCAAACCTGACGCACAAATTGTGGTAGACAAATCTGACTTTCGTCCATAACCTGTAAACCTTCCCATCTTGTGCACTTTAACAGAGAACACGTAAAAAAGCGTAATGTGAAGTTTACAGGCTCACCTACAATGGAGTCTGTAGAGGTTTTAATGTCTTGTTCTAAAAGCATTCATTCAGTGAAAAGGGTCCCTAACAAACAAACGCTGTTTTCTAACTTGGGATTGATTCTGTACAATAGTTCGAAGTGCAGACCAAACTCAGAAACCAGGTCCAAGTCGAATAGATCTGTTTGAGGGGTTGTCCGTGAATTAGAACTGCACTTTTGTTTTTAACGGGGTGGGATGGACAGATCTGTTTGTGTGTGCGTGTGTGTGTGTGTGTGCGTGCGTGCGTATGTGTGCGTGCGTGTGTGTGTGTGTGTGTGACAGAGAGAGGGAGAGACTTTTTTTTGGGAAGTAAATTGAATAAGTAAAGTGGAAAATGAAGGTCTTTGTGTGAATGCCCATGTGGGGCAATGTATGAGATATTTGTTTTTCTTTCCTATGACTGCTTTTGTTGCACTGATACCTGCCAGAATACTATGATTATATTAAACTATTTTATGGAATACATTAATGACCTGCACATTTCTGTCAAAATGTGAGAAAAACTGATGAAAAGTTTTTCTCACATTGAAAGGAGTACGAGTATCACTGCCACAGTTAGTGAGAGAATACTAAGAGGTTAGTGTCTTTAAGAGTCTTTAACATTTTCCCTTTCATCACTACATCAAACTGCAAACCAACACTAATCTATTTATGCTATATTTAAAACTTATTTTGGTGTTCTATCTCATCGTATTGTGCCTTTCTTCACCCTGATCACACCTTGTTGACCAGACTCAAGGACATGAACTACCAACGGTCATATTTTGAAAAATTGTGGGTGATTTTAGAGATACAAAATAATTTACTTACTCTAAGTTTTTCAGACACTATAAAGTCTCTGGCTTATAGCTTTGCATAATCTTTATTTCCTCTTATTTAACAAAATTAGGATTGATTTTCCTTAATGTGTTAGCAAAGAACCAATTCTGCTAATTTATCAAAGACTAAATGTGCATGGCATTTGGCACATGCTGCTATGACATGAATGAGTGCAGTGTGGAGTGGCAGTTTACTTCCGTCCTCACAGGTGAAATCCAAAAAAAAAAGATGTTTTATTTTATTTGAACACATCTCAGTGCACAGAGTCACTGGAGTGACAGTAGAGTGAAACATGTTTATTTCAGGTGTGATTTGTGATGAATTCTTCTGTCTTGGTTGTATGGATCCGATATGAAATGTTTGTCAAGAGAAATGTGTGAGTTAAAGGAACGCTGTCAGCTCTTGATTCTGTCTGTTTACATGTTACAACAATAGAGACGGTCTCTCCACGTCAACATCTGACTTCAAACTCTTTAAGCACAATCAGTGTTACCGTCCAGCGGGCTAACTTGTTAAATTAAAATGACAGAATTGGATGAATAGGACATTTGTAGATGAGATGTGTACACAGACATGTACGCCTTTATAAATCGCCACAAAAGTACGTTTGGGACTGACTGATGTTTCATACATCCACTGACATCCAAAAATGCTAGAAAAATACTAACAATAGTCAAAATCATCAGCTGACTTGACCCATTGACTTTTGTACAGTGCAGATTGCTTATTGAACAAGATTTTCCCTATGTGTATCAAAGCTGGTATTTTCACATTATTTTATAAAAGTTTAGAGTTTTTTCAGCATCAACAAATGTTCAGAAGTGCAGGCTGAACAGAAACAGAAACCACTGAAGCATTCACGGCTTAAAACAGATATTTGAGGTGATTTTGGTGTTGTGAATGGTTCCCCTGGTTCTGTATACTGAACTCTATCTTGTGTGGAATCTCACATTTAAATTGGTGGTCTAGATGTGCAGACGCTCTGAAATACTGTTTTTATGAGAAGGAATAAAAAAAGTACTTGGTTTTCATATTAATTTGAGATCACCATGAGTGTGGTTCTGTATAGCACCAAATAATGGTTTCCCCATGGTTGAGCCAAAGAACCAGCTGTTAAGCACTTTTCCCTATTGCGGTGGCAAAATGACAAATTAAGTTAAACTAATATATTTGTACATGCAGTTTGAATTAGGAAGATGCTTCAAGGTAATATTTCCCTGTTCATTGCTGTCAGTAAATTATTGTAATGTTGAAATGACCTTTTTTCCAGGGGTTATCTCCCTCTTTGTAGAAGACATTTAGAAAATATCACAAGGGGTTTCCCCCTTAAAAATAAGTATTGTTTTAATAATTTTTACAAATTCTACATTTGTTAAATAAAAGGTTAGAAACTTGGCTTTGGTGCACATTGCTGTATGAGATTTAAACGAGAAAGAGAGTAACCTGTAAAGACAATGCACTGTGGTGATTTTCTCACCAGTACAGAACACAAAACTTAAATTGGTGGATTTTTCTCTTCCAAAGTTGGTTTCATTTAAAAAATCTAATTATCTTGCCTTAATATAAGAATAGAGACTGTTAGGTCATGTAGGGACATTTGTTGTAAAATTATCAAACATGTCACACATTCTTGAATTGTAGTTTCCTATAAACTATTCTAGAAAACATTGACTTCAATGAAAATGATTAGACACCAAAGTTGTCATGACCAGTCGATTACATCTTACTTCATTGTGTATATTCTGATTTGGGCAACAACTTGTATCTTCACAAGAGCCCCAGTGTGATTTCAGTGTAGTAGACTACTATTGTGCCTTTGGCTTGAGGTCTTTCCTGCATTTCTTTCTCTCAACAGTTACAATTCTCACATTTGAAGTGTAAAGTTTGGTTTGTCAGTTAATCCTGTGGCGCAAATACTGCAAATCATGAAAGGCATATTACTTTTTTTCTTCAGCAGCTGTGGATTATAGATAATCAGAACCAGTTATCATTGTTACAACCAGTCGACCAATAGATCCACCAAAAGAACAACAGGACTTTGGTAACGCTGACTGCTAGGAGCCAAAGAAACAACTACACAATCTGTATAATTTCCTGTAGACCCGAACACTCAGCTGTTTATTTGACCTCAAGTGTGACAAATATTGTAAAAATGTGGTAAAGCAGCTCAGACTCCAGTCCACGAGCTCTGATCCTCTGCAAAATTTGTATTTTTTATCTTAAAGTTCTTTATCAAAGTGCAAATTCCCCATCTCGGAAAATGCACCCCTCTTTCCCGCTCACAAGTTTAGTTTAGGTGTAGATCATTTTCGTATGTGCAACACTAGACAGTAATGTGCTTCTAACCCTGATGCATGTTATACCAATGCTGTTTGCTCAACCTGCACCCAGACATCTTTCCGTTTAGTCATAAGGACAACCAAATAAACTTTCTACTCCAATTCAAAACTACACTTCAGAAAACTCCAGTTGTGTTCAAATGTTTTCCTTGTTACACTGTTTGTTCCCTTCAGTTTCATCATCTTTGTTAACCTCCCCCACTCCTGTAAATGGTCTGATATCGCTTTAAATAACTGCAGAGCCTTTTTAAATGTATCATATGTAATTATGCATTTGCGTAATTCGATCTTAAACTACTGTAAGTTTTGTACTGTAAGAAAGTCTATTCCAAATAAAATACTTGACAGGCCTGTCTTTCCTAAAACTACTCAACAAATGTTAGTTATGAATAATGAGTTTCACACATTCAAGTTTTTGTAAAGATTTTTTCAGTTTATTCTTCAGGTGTACAGCATCTTCAAATTCTGCTTTACATGGGCTTTGGAGGAGCTCTTGGTGCACCGGCCTGTAAAAAACAAACAAAACAATAAAATTAGATTGACGTCTGATATAGACCCTCATCACTGTGACTAGATAGATAATGTGACTTCTCAAACAGGTGTTAATAACATTAAAGGCTGCATTGCATTCAGATGGACTCATCTGCAAAACCATTAATGTTATTAGTTCCACCTGTTTATCCACTTTAAAATAATAATTTATAGCTTCATTAAACAGATCTGCTGACAAACAGCACAGGGCTGTAGAAGGTACTCACAGCTGGCCTGAATCGGGGTGGTGGGGTGCGGTCTTTCCTGGCCTCACAGGAGCGGTTCCTCACCACCTTACTGTGGATGGCACAGCTGACACAGTAGTGCAGCTTCACATAGAGCTTGGGCAGGACGTAAGCTGCAGAGTGAACAGTGGAGGAAGTGTCAGATGAGAACAGGCCACCAGGTTTAAAACACAGTTTATCGTCGACATAAAAAACAAAGCAGATACACTTACAGTCAAAGACACTGGCCTCGGAGATGTCTCTCACGGCCGCCGCCTCCACTATGTTCCTGATGACAAACTTCTTGATGGCCTTGTCCTTGGGGACGCAACGGGCGCAGTTGGTGCAGCGGATGGGCTGCACGTGCCCACGGCCCTTCTTGGCACGACCGTTATTCCTCCTTTTCTTGGTCTGTAAAAGAGATGCCAAGGTCAGAATGATACAAGTAATGGACGGACAACTAGGATTGGGTACTGAACATCAATGCATCAGCAGCACTGGGTAACGAAAACTGTCAAATGTCAAAAGCTAAAAATAAAAAATAAAAAAATCCAACTCCATTTAAGACCTATTTAGACAAGTTTTCAAAAAGTTTAACTTCTGTTAAAAACAAATTGACCAGATATTCTTGGGTTTATCCCAAACATGCTTTTTTAAACATTTCAAACAAACACCATATTTTCTCATGGGCTTTGGCAAAAAGAAAGTACTCATCAGAATTTAAGTTAAGTCTAACATTGTTTCTGACATCCTTTTACAACTAACTTCTAATACTGTCCTTTCAACGTGCAACAGCATAACATGGGTATCAAATGACAAACTCCTACACTTCGTAAGTCCAATCCAATACAAAATATATGTAATTTAAGAGACGTTTTATCAGTATCAGAGTGGCTGCCGTCCATTAGTTTCTGTATCTGGTCGGATTTATTTAAAACGCGGATGATAAAATGCCTCTGATAGCTACGGTGGCTCGGACCGGCTGATATTGCATTACAGGCTTTAAAAAAAAAAAAAAAACACAGGTCATCTTAAGTTTTACAGTTGTTTTATTTAATTGACGCAACATGTAACACCATAAAGAGAAACTACGACACCCAGAGAACCAGAGGTCTTCGCTGTGTCTCCGGACATTAACAGAAGCGTTTGTCACTTCACAGGAACACATGCACAAAAACGGTTAGCACGCTAACAGCTAGCATTAGGCCCAAACTCATTTTTTTAATCACACCGAGTGACGTTTAACGACTATTCCCAGCATTGGGGTTTAGTTGTGTGATTAAAATGTCTAAGGAGGGAGAAATATGTGCGGTATTTCGAATAAAATGACAGTTTGTTCGGTTTTTGCCACACGGCCGCCACTGAAACACACTCACCATGTTGCACGGGAAGCTGGAAAGAGGACCGGAAGAGGTTGTACCGCGAGAAGTAGCGCCATCCGCTCCGCCCTCGAAATATCTTTATCAAAAATACAACCCTGTCCATGTCTTATTTTATTTTTTATTTTACTTTATAAAAGTATGTCTTCTGTGTGTATTTAAAAAAACACAAAAACAACAAATTACACTAATTTTCTTCAAGAAATTAACATTAATAATGTTAATATTCGCGGAGGGATATCAGTGAGTTAACGGCTGTTTAAAGCGTCTCCCGAGTGGGCGGAGTCATGAATCACTGCAACAATACGACTGAGAGAAGCGGTGTTGCGGAGCAACGCCGTATATTAAAACAAACGCACCGATGTTGTTCGGCTCTTCGCTTTGAATAGAGATAGATAAAATGTGTTATTATAGCTATTATCTGGTAAAAAAATACACCTAAAAAAGAGTTTAGTTCTCAATGTGTGACTTAAATATGATTTAAATAAATTAACCTACTGTGTTTTCTTGGTCACACATTTTAACCACTATTAATATTATTTTACTGTAAATACTTGGTTTACAAAAGTTGGAAAGGATGACTATATCTTTTATTGTGTTTTATATCTATTTACAGCAGAAATGCTGCAATGTTTTACATCTAACAATGTATTTTACTTACATTTGAGGCAGCCATTCATTTATCACCATTTGCAGACTTGAATCAGATAACTTGTTAAAAGTGAGTTTAACTTTGGGTCATCTAGTTGTAAGTATAGACTGATCACAGAAATAGAATAACACTCAGCTTCAGGTCAAACAGCAGGAGACTGTGTTAATGCTGAGTTCCTCTAAAGAGGTTTGTGTGTGTGTGTGTGTGTGTGTGTGTGTGTGTGCTGCTTCCTGTATACTATACACTATACACTATCTTCTGTGTATTAATCCACATTGTATGAGAGAGCAGCTGATGGCGCTACATCAGAAAGTTTATTTGGAGGATGTGACTTTAAACATCTCTACACCAAAGTGAAGTCCATCAGAAAAGATCGGTGGTCATGATGACAAAGCGGCGGAGGAGAGGTTTCATTTAATCAGTTTGAATCAGATTTTTACAAAATAAAACAATGTAAACCCAGGTCTCTGATATCTCCCTCTTCTATTTGGCTGGAACCTCAAGGAGATGCACTGTAGATCCACCGGTAGGTCAAGTCTTAACAGCTGTGGAGCTGTAATAAAGCCACACAAGATCATCAGATGACAGTGACAGTGTAATGCTTAAAAGATTGATACAACAGGGAAAAGCTGTATCTGTAAGCAGGTTGCATTACAGCTTATACAACGTGTTCTGTTATTTTCTCTTTCTCTTTCAGTGTCTCCTGCTGGTCTTCCTCAAAAAGAAAGGCCATTTATTCAGTTAAATCCCTCAGATGATGTTAGAATATCTCTTAGTAACACTTTTTTGGCAATTAGTCATGTTTCTACATAATGGCGCTCCCTGTAGATTACCTGCCCTTTACCTGGTTAACAATGAATAGGTCTTGGCACAAGCAGCTATTTCAGTCAACACCCAAAGAAAATGTCAGTGAAGTGTTCAGCAGGCTGTTTGAACGTTGAAGTGTAATTGCACTTTCACTCAATGTCCTGTTCCTGTTTCGTAATCTTTTTTTTTTAACCTCTGCTTGTGCAGTCGGTTAAAAAGATGTCAGGGAAAGATTTTTTCTAATAGTCACCTCAATAAGGACCAAATACATCTTGTGATTCTGCAATTCTGTATGCAGCACAACTGTTGCTTAAATTGTAGTTGTTACAGTGTGATTGTGTACTCTTTCTGCTTTTATTGATGAGATAATTGATTCATTTGTTGCAGTTGTAGCAGCCCTTTCATGGGGAACGGCTGTGGCTCAGGATGTTGAGCCTGGGTTTGATCCCCCAGCTCCCCCGTCTGCGTGTTAAAGTGTTCTTTGGCGAGACACTGGACCCCAAATTGCTTCTGATGGTCACACAAGCATGATAGCTTGCTGCCATCAGTGTGTGTGTGTGAATGAACGAGAGGCGAATCATAAAGCACTCTGGATAAAAGCGCTGTATAAACGCAGGCATTTACTGTCATAATGTCCTGCAGCTGCTGTTTCTGATACAATCAGAAACAAGAATCATCATGAAGTTCATGAATCTGCAACTTCTCTGCAACGGCTCACAGACTCACAGACTGTACAAACATCACTGTTACTGAGGCTGTTAACAGTACGTAGAGTATAGTAGTAACACATACTTAAACACTGAACTTAACAGATAACTGCTGTGCTTTTAAAACACATTAAACATAAAAACACAAAATACAATTAAATTTTTTTATTTAAATAGTTCTGTGCTTTTGTCCTTATTTCTTCTTGCTCTTCTTATCCTTCGCCTTCTTTTTGCTCGGCTTCTCGGCATTAGCCTTTTTGTAGAGGTATAGTCCGACCAAGCCGAGCAGAGTGGGCACCAGGGCCAAACACACAAGGGGGAACACGTCGTTGACCATTTTCTGCCACGGCGTCTGCTGCATCAGAGCGACCACCTCCACCTCGAACTCAAGAGCAGCATCACCTATAGTGCGGATCAAGTTCATGTTCAATGTTTTGTCACATCAGGTTTTTTCTTACATTTACTATATTAACTATATTATGTACATATGTAAATAGATGAAGATATGAAATAACTATATATTATAATAACATCTAAAAACAACATATACTTAAAGGAAAGAGTGTTCAATATACACATTTAACACACACCACCCACTGCACCAGGTAACATGTTCCTCCATTACAATTAACATGGGAATTTACAGTTTCTTTAGTCATTGCCACATACACTGAGTGTGTATTACTCCACAGCTGAAAATAGTCCCCAAAAAAGTAACTTGTTACTCCAGTTTAAGAAGCGTTTACTAACACTGCATCGGGACACTGCTTTAGGAAACTACAGACCCTTTTTTTTTTAATGAAGCAACATATTTGTGACCAAATCTTGAAACATTTTCCACACATTTTCCACACAGTGGGCTCGGGGCTGAGTGCAGCAGGGTGAGTCATAACCTAGTGAGAAATGGACTAACCTTGTTTTGGTCTTTGCAAGGGATTTGTTGAGAAGAAAGAAAACTACATAATAACACCGGCCTTATGCTAAGACAAACGGTCAGTGTGATGTGACAGTTTCATAGAAGTGCACACACTGTTCAGCGTTCAGTACCTGGAATCGTAGGAGGGTAACCTTTTTTTCCATAAGCAAGGTGAGAAGGAATAGTGGCTTTGATTTTTTGCCTGAATGAGAGAAAGAGAAATATAAAACACATTTATTGAGAAAGCAGTTCTCAGATTCCATCACAAAAAAAATACATTCATCACTGTACACAGCTACTGAAAAGTAAATCTATTGCTCAGCTTTTTTGTCTCAGTGGACCTTTACTTCTCACTTACCCTTCACACACGCCAACCAAGCTTTGCTCCAGACCTGATAAGAAAACCACACAGAAAGAGTCAATCAGCCCAAGCAAGGACATTCCCTGGCACACAACGCGCTGCAGTTATCTCTCGAATGTACGCAGATCAAAGTGTCACCGATTGAGCAACACAAAAGGATTTACTGTTAATTTACCGGCAATAACTGTCCTCTTCCCAAGCTCGACAACAAGAGGGTCCAGGGATAGCGATGAGTCGATCACCTTTCCATCCATTAGTTTACCCTGCGAAACACACAATGTGAGATTCATCTGTTTACATTTTTATTATAATTGAGTCATAAGTTCATTTGGTGCATCTTTTATGGAGCTGGGTTTTAGCAATAGAGACTCGTGGCCTTGAAGATACAATATGTGAATAAACTGTGGGCAACCTATTTGAACCTATTATCTGAGGAGTAGTTTGACATAGCAAAGTTGATTTCTTGCCAAGAGTTGATTAATTCAATTCAATTCAATTCAATTTTATTTGTATAGCGCAAATTCATAACAGAAGTTATCTCAAGGACCACTTTTCAAATAGAGCAGGTCTAGACGAACTCCTTATTAACATTACAGAACCCAACAGTACCACCATGAGCAAGCACCTGGCGGACGGGGGCAAGGAAAACTGCCTTTTAACGGGCAGAACCTCGAGACGACCCTTCGGGCTCTAAATTAAAGATTGGATACCATTGATCTGTAAGTGAAAGTGAAGCTACTGTCTGCAGCTGGTTACTTAGCTTAGCATAAAGACTGGAAACAGCAAGCCTGGTTCTGTCCGAACTAAACCAAATCTAACAAACAGCCCTCAAATGTCTTTGCTTTGATCAAACAAACAAGATATACTGTGTTAATGTGTAAGATTTAGAGGTGCTAGTAGGCATATTTTACTTACTGTTTGTAAGTTTTTCCCAGTTTACAGTCGTTGTGCTACGCTAAGTTTCACATTTAACACACATATATCAGACTGGTGTCAATCATCCCTCTCACAGCAAGAATCCAAGTATACTTCCCAAATTGTCTAACAATTAAGTTAGAAAGTAAACTATTTTTATACATATATGTAACAGGAACTAGAACTTGATGAATGAAACACCTGCAGCAGACAACACAGTGTATATTTGTCTCAGTGTAGATCTCTCTGACACAGTGTTTATGCTAAGAGCTCTTTCCTGTTTACAGCTGCTGTGTGACAATAAGCCACGGTGCTCAAAGACACTTGTAAGACAACCTTTCATTCAGCAGTAATAGTTTACCTCACTTATGTCGTTTGTTTGAACAAAGAGCTAAATCATTACGGGTAAATTATCAGTCAGAAAGGCTAATCAGGCGATTAATTATAACCTTATTACAGGCAGGTGCATTGGAGAGGTCAATTAGTTTTCCAATATATTATTAAAAATCAGCCACAGGTTTAATGTTTCTTGAGTCATGTTCAGTCAGAAATTACACCCTTGCTCATTTTGTAGAACACAAACAAAATATTAACACAACATTTTGTACAGAAAACATAAAACATCACAAAGACTCATCAATAAACACTAATATAACTGATAATAAAGTGTTAAATATTGGCTCATTCAAGGAGAGATACTATTTCTGGCTACCATCTTTGTTTGGAGTTCCAGCTCCAGTTTCCATCCATTCTGAGGATTTTGGAAATACATACAGAATAGGGATGGGGGAGATTTGATTGATCCCAATACCATTACTGATTTTGCTTATCCCTGTGATTCCATGTCAATTCCCTTATTGATTCCTCATCAATTTGGTTTGTGGGAAAAAGGTAGGCCCACTGTGTGCGTCCACACACCTGTTTTATTATCTCTGAACAGTGTAGATAAAGATTATATTCTGATATTGTGAAATAAAGCCACACTCTGGACCGTTTCTTCCTCTCTGCCATTACTATTTCTTATTGCAAGTACACACGACTTGTATCGGTTCTCAGTTCTCATCCCTAATTCAGAACATTAAGTGTAATGGTGGCACAAACTGGGGGGGCTAACTGTGTAATCTAATGATATTGAGGGGCACATAAACAGACCACCTGTGACTAGACTAAGTGTTTGTGACAAGAGAGAAAAGTGGGGAGCCTTTTTCCATCACATGTGACAGAAACAAGGCTCGCATACCACACAGTGAAAGCCAGGAGCCACCAGTACCCCCAGTGTGCCTGGGTGAACTGGTTGCTGCTCCACTGACACACACAGAGCTGCTGTTATTGCTGACGTGTTGCACCGCCCCATCTCTCCATAGTAAAAGCAGCGGCGATCTTCACACACACACACACACACACACACACGAGATAAAACCCAAATAAAGCCACCATGACAGGCATTAAACCGCAATCTGTCTCCCGTTGAGGCAGGAAGACGCGTCCAGCAGCAGTTTCTTCTTCACACTCAGTCTCGGTGTGTAAACGGTGTCCACATGGTTCGTGCAGACGGTGCCACATAGACAACAACTGCGTTCGTCATCCGCTTTCCATACACATAGCGGGAGAACTGGACTTGACTGTGAAGCCTGCTTTCCTTACCGTGTAGTGGATCCGCAGCGTGTCTCCCATTGTGGAAAGTACAGAGCAAGTTTCGGGTTTCACCTTGGGTCAGAAGAGTTAACTGTTAGACACCGTTGCGTTTATTTCCCAGTGGGTGTTTAAATGTGTGACTGTGTTACATTGTGTTACATTGTAATACGTGTGTGTGTGTGTGTGTGTGTGTGTGTGTCTCACTCACCAAGGTCTCCACCTGCAGCTCCTCGACTGCATTTTCTTCCCCCTGCGCGGCTCCACAGGTGAAAGCTGCGAGCAGGAGCAGGAAAACGCCGGTCTTCATTGTGAACTTGTGGAAAAGAGCTGCCATCCAACAACTTCCGTGTGGGCTTCTTCTACATATGGCAGCGACGAGAGAGAGAGAGCGAGAGATAAAGAGGGAGAGAGAGAGAGAGAGAGAGAGAGTCTGCCCCCGTCGACCCCGTGTGTCCAAAATGGCTCAGCGGCGAGTAATGCTGATGTGTTACAATGCTGGAGCGATAAGGACCAGAGGCCCGTGGACGTTGCCCCAACACCTGGCTCTCCCTGAAGAGCCCGCCTCAAACATTCCGCCAGCATCCCATCTGGCCGCCGCGGCTCACAGGCGGAAGCGGCGCCCTGCAGGGCCGCTGGGGGGCGCTGCGGTGCTGCTGCTGGACAGGACACACAGCTCCAGGCGCCACGTTGCTGTAGTCCCTCACTATAGCCCCCCCCTCCCTCCTGGTAATGACTGCCAGGGGTGGAGGAAGTGTTCAGAGACTTTATTTAAGTAAAAGTGCTTATACTAGTATTATATACACTACACTGTGAAAATAGTCCACTACAAGTAAAAGCATGCATTAAAAAGAATACCAGCTAATAGGCTACTTAAAGTATGAGAAGTATGAATGGTCCCTGACAGTGTTTTACTGGGATGTTTTGGGATTTTAATATTACTGCTGCATAAATGTTTATGTTGCATTTTACTTTGCTCTTTTTAACTACTTTATTTACTGTCGGGTAGTTTCATCTACAGCGATGTATCATCGTCTATAAAATCAATATATGTTTGTAGCTCCACTGTTCTGTGAGAACCACGTATCTCTAAACAGCTTTCATGAGGTCAGACAAACAACCCCCCTTTTCAGCTTTGTGACAGTACATTGCAGCTAATCCAAGAGGGTTTTACAAAATATATGTTTTATTTAAGAAGTAGGGGGATTTACTTAACCCATAAAGGAACACTTTGTCCTTCGGTTTAAAAGAAAATAAAATCTAATTCATATTCACCAAAGTTGGACATAAATGGTTTTCACTAAAAGGGTATGAACATTTGTAGTCTAAAAAAGTAACTAACTTAAGCGCTGTCAGACAAATGTAATGAAGTAAAAAGTATAAATTTACCTCTGAGATGTAGCAGAGTAGAGGTATGACATTGCATCACATGGAAATACTCAAGTAAAGAACGAGTATGTCAAATTTGTATTTAAGTACAGTACTTGAGTAAATACTTAGTTAGGCTACAGTCCACCACCACTGACCACAGAAATAAAATATGATAGGTTATCCACAGGTTTTTGCTCATTCATTTCATTTCACCTCGTCAACTGTGTTGTTGTCATCCACTAATTACTGATATTCTCTAGCTTTATTTGCAACAATGACCTGCAAAACTACAACACTTTAAATCACCAACTGTCTCAAGTCCTCTGTTTGCTAGCAGGATATCAGGGAAGTGTCACCAGCACAGATTGCAGTATTTGTGCCACATGCTCATGTATTAGACAAAGGATAGTTTTTCATGCAGAAGCACAGAGTTAAGCTTTGTTAGATTAGACTAATTAAAACAAAACAGGCTGCTCAATCGTAAATGTTTAGGTGTCAAAGAACTGTAAATGTGAGGTCACTAAAACCCTAAATGGCTGAAATTACAAGAAATACAGATTCTCTGAAATAAAAGAGCTGACTGATCAAGAATGTTAAAACATTGTCACAGTGCAGCACTGAAATAGAAATTAATGACTCATCTTTGTGTGCAAACTTAAGATAAAACCTGCTTCCTCCTTCAGATCGCCAAAGTAGATACGGGAGTATATGCTGGTAAAAAGTACTTAAAAACATGCATATGATTAGGCCCCATCACCGAATTCAGCTATACTTGTTTTATCTTCCTTATATTTGTATTTACATGCTCCTTAAGTATGTTTGATTGGGTATGGTTATACCCATATGTATATTTGTTGTTTGTAAGGCACTTTGGACCTCTGTGTTAAAAAGGTGTTATATAAATAAAGCTTTACTTACTTACTTACTTACTTACTTACTTACTTACTAACTATACTGCATTAAAATGCTCATGTGGGATACCTGTATGTAGATTTACTGTGGCAGATGCTGGTAAAAACATGAAATTATGATCTGATCCATCATTATGAGTCACGTTACGTAGCAACATCAAAATCACACAATCTCACACTGAAATGCTCTCTGACATTTATACTGATCATTTCAAGTTTTCTTGCTTCAATTTAGAAACTTTACTTTGTTCCGCATGAAAATATTGCACAAGTGTTGTGCAATACTGAAGACCAAAGCATCATTTCCTGAAACTCAATAGCTTCACACATACACAGGAACTTTATATAACAGGTTGTCAGGCTCAGTAGCAATTACATTTATTACAACTTCAAAATTCTTAGTCATGTCACTTCCTGTTGCTAATTAAAATTCGGTAAGGCAAGCATGTAGCTTTTGGTCATCTCTTGGAAACCCACTGAGCTGGTTTGCAGTGTTTTAATGAGGGAAGCTGGTTATGCTTCTCAGCCTTTGGTGTTATGACTGTTGTGTGACTGTTGTGTTATTCATTACCATTAACCACTACATGATTTTCACAGCAGACATGTTGACTGGTCAGGAAAAACAGAGGTGTAACTAATAACATCATTGATGGCTCTCATCACAGTGAGAAATGTCATAAAGGCATATAAAAAAGGGCATACAGGGTCATAAATGGCCCAAAACTTTGCCCATTGAACTGTTTATCTGGCCCTGGTTGTTAATCTGGGGTGTACAATGGGGAGACGTGGGCCCAAAGCAGAGGGAGACATTTGGACTAAAATGTTTGATGTCCTCAAATGTAGATGTATTAATTCAAATAATTGTGAACAAACTGTGTGCTATTTGAGATAAGCTTAAACATGTTTTTTTCCTATAGAGATGTAATGACCCACACAGGGGTCACTCTTTTTTCGCTGCTTAGATTTTCTCAGCCTCCAGTTGTTGTTGTTTTTTCATGGGAGTATATGTATGGACAGTGGTTTCGCTTCATTCCCTCCTACTTGTGGTGTTTTCTTGGTCCAGCTTTCAGGTGTGGACTGATGGACACGGGTGAAAAGGTCATTTCCATGGCAGATGCCTGAACCTGAGGATGCTCATCCCACATATGGTGTGACAGGGGAGGATGTTGCAAATGGCATGGAGGATGCTCCTGTTGCCACCATGGGTGTCGGAGCTGTAATCAATACAACTACATTCACTGCAGCTGCAGTGGAAGAGGGAACCTCTGGTGTCACTGCTGGCAGTGGGCAGTCTGTGACTAGGGAAATGGCAAAGTTGATGTCACCAAATATATCACTATAAACCTTTTTCACAGCAGCCATATGACATGAAATAGTAAACACAGCCCTGTGACTTTTTGACCTGAATGGAACAGAACCTATTATTAGTATCACTGATAACACCCGTGTTTTCTTACTATTTCATGTCTGAATGGCTACTGTTTATATAATATTTGATGGCACTGCAGCCAGGGGAAGGGCTTTACGTCTTTACTTTGCTTGGCAGATCATAAAATGTAATTGTGACTCCTGGATGAGCTTTCATCAAGCTGTCACAGCAGTTGTTTACGAGCCTTTTTCAGTGGCCCATATACACTGCAGTCTAAGGGCTGCAGTGTATATGGGAACAGTGTGAGGAGGGGGTGAGAGGAGGGTGATACCATGGCTCCTGCAAAAATACTTTTCCTCCACAGAACAGGCGGGAGGATTGACTGTCCAGAAGTAGCAGTACTTTTGACTCCAGAGCTGACTTGGTGTGAGTCTGGAAGTCTTCATCTTGCATACACCCATGAAATGGGAGGGATGGGATGGTCTCTTTAGTAGGTAGGGATATATTACAAATGATACAGGTGTCATTGATCTGCCCCAATAAAGCTAACAGAAGAGTTAGGGAGGTGTCAATCAACATTTGTAGACATCCATAAAATGTCCTCAGGAGGTGGAATCAGCCAGAATAAGTGATCACCTGTGTTGGTAGACCATGTGGGCCCTTAAAGGGTAACAATTATGACAGATGTTAACACATTTGGTCACCAAATCCAGCTATATTTGTTTAGATGTGTCTATAACCAATTAGTAAAATGAAAGTCTGAAGGTGTATTTAAGTCTTGAATGGATAGACAGTAGACACAGACATGGAATTTTTTTGGAGGCATGGGCCAATAGCAAATACAAGTCAAGCCCATTTGATATATACACTATTTTATTAAAACTAAAAAATATTGTGCATTTTTAAGGACAAACAGGTATTGACATGACAACAAACCGACACATTTGAACAAACTTTGTTGTTCAAACATCCTTTTTAAAACGACTGTCAACAAATTCCGGTTTGCTTTCGATCTCCACTCTCGCGAGATCTCGTTTACTGCTGCGTTGTCCACCAGAAAACACCGTGAGACCTTTAACAGCAGAGGAGCACTCCGCCAAGGTAAGCGACCACTCTGGCACCACCACCAACCCCGGTAATACACACGTACAGGTCCCAGCAGGGGATGAAATAATAGCGTGTGTGTTGTCGGTCCTGCGCTCCGTTGTGTCGCCTCGGTGTTGACCGGGATCGAGCAGCGGCGGGCGGCTCGCAGGCAGCAGGACGCCCGCTGTGGTGTTGAACGGGGACGGATGAATGGGGTGGATCGGGACGAGGATAACGCTTAGCTACCGCCACGTCTCATCGGCTGAGCGAATAAAAAGCGTAACTGGACTCATAAATGAGTTGCTAACAGAGACGATGAGGAGGAAATGATCAAGTTTAAATGAATTGATGGATGTTCAGTTAGAGATGTTTACGGCTAATAACTGGCTAACGTAACCTGAGTCACCCAGAGCTGAATTCACATCATCAGGCCGGGATATTCGTGGCCCTGCTTCCCTGATAAATCCCCATTTTATAGCTCATATTTGAAGCCGTGCACTCCCCCTGTGTGAGAGGACTGAGCTGGTGTCTCAGGCAGTGAAACTGTGGGTGTCCTCTTCAGCACCATGGACAGGGCTGCACCTTCACATCTACTGACGACTGCGTTTATCTGTGGTTCGTCTTCTGTTTCTCACTTTACTGAGTTTAATAATTCTCTGAATCAGTCACTGTTGTTGTAGGGTGATTGAATAAGTGCACTTTGATGATAAGGCTTTATATAATGATATGAATTGAGACATCTTGTCTCCTTTTCACATTGAAATATAACACACATACTTTATAACTCAAAGTAAACCACTATGTCCACACAATATGCCTACGATGTCCAAAGATGCTTTTGTACATTTAGAAGACATTAGTTCTTTACTGGCACAGTTTTTCTGCAAAGTTGTTAAAAATATTTGTTGTTCTCAACCTGAAAAATGGGCAATATTTTAATTCCACTATTATTTCATGGGTGCATTTCAAGTTAGCACAAAGGGAGAGAGTATGAGGATGACTATTGTGTGTTCACACTCTTTATTGTTAATCTGCCAATCCGTTAGGCATAACTAAATCTTATGAGACATGGATCCCTGACACTACATCGTATTAAATACAAGTTTGCGGCTCGATATGTATAAATTTGGGGATGTTTGACACCAAAAAGGTTGAGAACTACTAGAGTAGACCGTAAGATACTAGCCTGGTTGTAGACCTCAGACCAATGATCCCTGATCTGTGCAGCACATCAAATGATGAAAATGAATGAATTAAGTAAAACTAAATGGCTAATCAATCTGATCAGCAAGTTGGAAATATGTGGTTGAAAGCTCAGGGAGCCCGTAAGTGGACCTTTGAGCTTCAATTATTTTGTTACATATGAGTATTTTGGTCACTAGAATTGTATTTTAATCATATCCTCTGCTGACGACGATACCTGCAAAACATTTTTGGTCTCTTGCAATATTTAGACTATTGCCAGCCAGCCAGGCCTGGTAATGTAGGACATTTTGCATGTGCTCTGAGGGCTTGGCGTTGTTGCAGGCTTACATTTGAAAGGAGCAAAAAAACACAGTGTGAAGGGTCTGAACAGATTGTGTTGCAGCCTGGAGTCATGGCACTGACATGCATCTCCTTCAGCCTCTTTATGATGATGACTGTGGGCAATTAGCATAGCTTGCACCTGTCTTTGGGCGTGCATGTAAAAGTGAGATTTTCCAGCATGCTTGTGTAGTTTTTTTTAGAAAGGTGAGAGATGGTGAGCTGGAGTGTTCCCTTTATTGTAATTTAACAGAGCCTCTTACAGAGTTTTTCTTTATTAATCATCCTCTCTTTATTCCCACATGTTAATAATCGAGATCAGCATCTTTCATTTGATGTTTACCTCATAATATAGCAATGCACATAAATGGTTATTTGTTTCCTTTCAGCCCCTCTTCATAATCTATCTCTGCTGGACGAGTGAAACTTCACACAAAGGCATCTAGAATCAGGATTGTAGGCACACACTGAAGTTTAAGAACTTCACCTGAATCATGGGGAACATTTTTGGGAATTTGCTGAAGAGCCTCATAGGGAAGAAGGAGATGAGGATCTTGATGGTGGGGCTCGATGCCGCAGGGAAAACGACAATCCTCTACAAGCTCAAACTGGGGGAAATAGTCACCACAATCCCAACCATTGGTATGTACACAGTCAAAATAACATTAGTTGTAAAATATTGTCACGCCCACTGTGTTTGCTTTTCATGTTGTATGACAAAGCTCTTGTTTTCAGGGTTTAACGTGGAGACGGTAGAGTACAAGAACATCAGCTTCACTGTGTGGGATGTAGGTGGGCAGGACAAGATCCGGCCTCTCTGGAGACACTACTTTCAAAACACACAGGGTGAGCAGAGCTAATGAGAGGTTTAAAGCGGTAACACTTTCCTCTTCTCCTCTTCAGAAAGATAATGTGTATTTGGTTTGTTTTTCTCGCTGTCGCAGGTCTGATCTTTGTGGTGGACAGTAATGACAGAGAGCGTGTGAACGAGGCACGGGAGGAGCTGATGAGGATGCTGGCTGAGGACGAACTGAGAGATGCAGTCCTCCTTGTGTTTGCCAATAAACAGGTAAGAACCCATAAGTGTTCTGCATATATACACAGAAAATATAAATGAATCCATAAAAGGGTTATAGTGCAGGATGAACCCGTAAGCCCACCACGTACTAGTGATTTAAATATTTTACTGCATTTTCATTGTAGTTTAAGTTACATTTTCAAGTTGACACAACAGAGAAAGAGAAGAAAGCCTCATCTCATCAATACTACAATTATCATGGGTCAGAATTATAAATGAACAGATACAAAGATCTTATGAATGAACATTAATATTATCCAAAGAAATAACATCAAACCTTAAGCTTTATTTTTATTATCCATTATTAAACCAAACTAACATACAATCTCACATTAAAATCATCCATTCATTTATTTGTGAAACACTTGTGTTTTTACAGTTGAATAAAAGACAATTGGTCATTTAATATACAAGGTAATTCTGTCCACGGCTGCAACTAACGATTATTTTCATTTAATTATTGATTAATCTCCCTATTATTTTCTTGATTATTTATTTCATTGTTTTGTCTATATAAAAATAAATAAATAATCAGTTTTCGTCATATTTTCACATTTTTCTCAGTCACATAAAACAGAGAAATTCTCACATTGGAGAATTGTTGCCTATTCATTTTCTTTCAGTTGACTAATCGATTGATTGGCTGATCATTTTAGCTCTAATTCTTAGTTTAGATGGTTACAAAATAATGAGACCTGAGTATCCCAAAAAGGAAGCGACTACAGAGCGTTCCTACATTTTTTGTAAAAATGTTGCTTTCTGCTTACGGCCTTTCCAGTTTTCTTAATGAAACCTAAACTATGTAATTTCACTGAGAATAAATCATAACTTTGTAAGATTTTAAAGAAGATATTTTAGTCCTAGGCAGTGTATGGGTATCATCTCGCTATACGCTTTCTTTCTGTTGCTAATGGTGGTTGTTTGGGAGTGACCACTTACCACTTAGAGTTTGACTTTTTGGAAAATACACTTATTTGCTTTCATGCTGAGAGTTAGCTGAGATTGATACCTCTCTAATATCTGTTCCTTAAACAGAAAGCCACCACAGGCAGCAGATTAGCTTAATTTAGCATAAAGACTGAAAACAGGGAAACGTACCTACCAAGAATAAGCCCTGCTTACAACCCTCTATAAAGTTTGTGTATGTATTAATCAAATAGGATGCATGTTAATTAGTGAGCTGACTAAATGCTGGTAGACATAATTTCCTTATGGACAGAACCAGGCTAGCTGTTTCCAGTCTTTATGCAAAGCTAAGCTGTATTATATTAAGATGTAGAACTATTCCTTTAAAGGTTATCATTTAATTTCCCATCATATAACTGCATGCCTATTTCTAAGGCCACAGCTAACGATTATCATTATCAATTAATGTTTAAATTATTTATTTATTAAGGGTTTAAAATATCAGAAAATAGTGGAAAATACCCTCCACAATTTCACAAATGAAATAGATTTCAAAGATATTTAACTTACTATCAACTATTTAAGAAAAGCTAAAACTCTGCACATTAAAATATCTGAAACCAAAGTACACACACACACACACACGCATAAATATTTTAACCCAAACAATAACAGAAGACATCAGCTGTCCTGTCATTACTTACACTTACTCTCCTCACTCAACTCTCTCCTCTTTGACAGGACTTACCGAACGCCATGAATGCTGCCGAGATCACAGACAAGTTGGGCTTACACTCTCTGCGCCACCGTAACTGGTACATCCAGGCCACCTGCGCCACCAGCGGCGACGGCCTCTATGAGGGTCTTGATTGGCTGGCCAATCAACTCAAGAACAAGAAATAAGAAGAAATCTAAAAAGCAGCCAGCAGCCACACCCGTCCAACTTTTTATTTGTTTTGGGACATGGCGTGTGCAAGGGTTTTGATTGATTGGTGAAATGCAAGATTCTGGGTTTGGGGGAGATTTTAGGCTTTCATTTTCAGTCTGTTGAGGTTCCTAATAGTTTTCAGCGCTTATTGAAAACAGATTCTCATGTTCTTCATATTTAATCACTCACACACACACACACACACACGAATGCACACTAACCCTAAGCAATCACAGCAGACACTTGCTTTTCCTGTGTCCACCTTTTGTCCTTGTCCAGGTGCAATGTACTGTAGGTTAGTCTCTAGGTGCTGTACCAAGTCATGTGACTGAGTCAGCAATGAGTCAAATATGACTTTTTGTTGATGTACGTCTTTCAACTGTCAGTCGTCCATGCAAAGAACTGTTCTGTGCCAGTTGCACTTCCTGTTTGTTTGTTTGTTTGTTTGTTCGTTTTTTAACAGAGCCATGTTTGGGAACAATCACAAATGGCAGATTCAAGTCACCACAATTCACTTTAATGGTTCTCTCTTTTAATTTGTGAGCAATGCTGAGGCACTTTGATACTCAGATAGAGTGTGTACGTGTGTGTGTGTGTGTGTGTGTGTGTGTTTGTGCAAGCGGCCTAGTCAGTGTTAAACGCAAACAACTCTCTGAAACAGAAAAAGACAACAGGACTGGAGCTTCCTCCTCCACACGTCCTCTTACTGCCTCATTTTGGAAATCTTTTGATATCTGTGGCGTGTTTCTGTGTGTGGCAACCTGGAGCATCAAATCCGCCCTTTTTAAATATTTTAAAATGCTCTACACGTCCTTGACTGCCTGAACTGCATGCATCCTAGTAGATCTCGCTGGCATTGTTGCACACTCTTCCATCCTCTGAGCTGCATGGATGTTGATGCTGTTTGTAGGTTTTCTGTAACTCATCGTGTTCTGGTGCTGTATACAGTATAGGATGCAGAAACTAACCAAACCACCAACTTCTGCATTAGTTGTCATGCTCTAAATACAGTATAGTCAGCTTAATGGTCTTCTAATGTAAAAGCAGTATTTAGGTTAACCTGCACATAAACACGACACACATGACCCACGCAGCTGCTGCTTGTCTGCATTCATGTGTGTCCATATGAGTATTCAAACTGCATCAGGTTGCTCTCGCTTTTTTTTTGTCTCAGACTTGCATATCGGGGGGTTGATTCTGTTGCTGATGAGTCCGTGTTACCGAATGTGAATATTGTTGATGAATCTATATATGGCTGTAATGATATTTATTTGACATGCATATTCCTTTATTTCAGTGACAAGTGTGTCAGCATAATTATGTGAAAGAAAGCAGGGTAAGTGGATCAATTCATTCACTTCTGAACAGCAGACGAGTTACCGCGTCACCACTGATACCAGCAGAATCCACAGACTTCTGTCAATAAAACTTATTTCTCTGTGCCATACATGGGTACTTCTACTCATATACCAGTGACAGTACAACAAATTGTAAGTCCACTCCACTTAGTTATGAGTGCATTGTTCCACATCTATCATACGTTAAATCATGAGTTTGATCATTTGGGTTTTGTGGCCTTATATTTAGTGGTGACTTCAAATTGATTTCCTCTCGGCTTGTGCGTTTCTGATTTTAAGTCACATATATTTATCTATAAAGAATGATTTACAGATTTATTTCTCTATGCCCTCAAAAGGCAGGTTTTGCACCACAGTTCAGGATGATTAGGCAAAGGTTTTGTCTTCTGTTTTACCAGTATACTAGATTCATATTTAGTGGTAGATTTCTTTTGGTTTTCTTTGGGGTGTAAAGAAACTTTGATGTAGACTGTGTCTGTGAAACAATGATAATCCGTGCGAACAAAAAAAACAAAGAAAAGAAAAATACTTCTGATGATTCATTCTGTACCGTTATAGTTACACAAGTAGATTTAAAAACGGTGAAGACCATGTTTCAATGCTGAAAGCAAGGAAACATCTGTATGTGATGTAAGACAACAAACAAAAATCCTGCTGTATTACAAATAAACTCATTTTCTGTATGACCTGTCTCATCAACCGTGTGTGAGGATTACTGATAGATTCCATTTATACATATATACACCAAATATTTTATATTCATGCTCACAAGTGACTGGAACAATAGAGCAGATCTTGCTCTGACGAGCTTCTACCAGAAGAGGACAGTCTTGAGCTCCAATATCTGTTTATTGAATGTGGTTTGAAGCATGAAGAGCTGTGTAAGTTTTTATAATTCAAGGTAACCTGTAGCTTTTTATCCTAGTTTTCCTGTTTGGAAACCCCCTCTAACAGCTCAGAAACATACTTTACATTGTTCTATAACTTTGATACTTAATTACTTTGACTAATTTTGTGATCGTTGCATCTAAAAAGGATTTTAAACTGAAGATGCTTCTGAAGAGAGCTTTAAAACGTGGATACATTCAGCAGATTTATATCTGTTCTATATGTTCACAGTACTTTTCTAAACAGCTCTACCTCTCCCAAATTATAATAGATTTGTAATTAGATAATAGAGGAAGTAAAGCCAATGTCTAAGGGACGAGAGGGTTTAAAGGGCAAGTAATAGTATTTTCCTGACTCACTGTGTTCTTAAATTGGCAACTTTTAGTCCAAGAAAACAAAAGACACAGACACAAATGGAAAAAATGCAACAATTTAACACATTTTCCCACCAGAATTTATTCCTGCAGAGTAAGAATAACAGAGAGGTCTATAAGGAATTTTAAAGTCTCTCCAAAATGGCTGATGGCTATTTGGACGTATGACCTCTGTATATCTAAACTCTTGGCTCTGATTCATCATTAAGTATGTTTGATTTTTGCAACAGTGGGTTTCAGTTATACTTTATTCTTCAGAAGTCTCATCTTTTAAATAAAGCATATTGGGCAAAAAGACTTTCCTGATTTATAATTCCTCTGTTGTAGCGAGGGGTTATCACACATTTATTATAATGATATAATGACAGATTCTGATGTTGAAAGAGGGAGCCTGTGTGTGTGTGTGTTTGTGTGTTTGTGTGTGTGTGTTAACTGTGTCCTGTGCTACTTTGTTAAAGGGAATAAACGTGCAGACGACACTCTGCTGCTGTTCTTCTACAAGAACCACTTGTGATGTTAGAATCTTTTTGTTTTCTTGAACTTATTCTGTTCGGTTGTTTTCTGTGAGGACAAAACGAAAAAAAAATACTTTTGAGAATGACTTCCTGGTAGTGGTGAAATATTAACCACTTGTTTTGAACAACCCTCTTACATTTCAAATGAGTCTGACTGGAAATGCAGATGACTCTGACTGTGAACTGGAGAACCAACTGGAGATATTTGTCTGTCAGATGTATAATTCTGTGTAATTAACCTGTCTAGATAGAGAAACAACTTGTTGTTCAAAAGTTCACTTGTATGTGTGTTTGTGACAGACTGGAGCTGCAGGCAGAGCCAGTTTCTACAGAGCAGTTCAGCTGGCTCGCCCACTCTTACAGACAGACGATGTTTGCGTGAAGCCGAGTGACAAACTAGATGATGAGAGATAAGATATTAGTTCATGAACACTTCCTGCTGTGAAATATCACTTGCATGTTCAACTCTGGTGGAAATATTTGCCACAGAAATTAGCTGACACGGTTATGCACAACCTCACACACAAATCAGGTCTAAGTACAGCAGTAAAATTATGCAGCCACAGAATGATGCTGCAATAAAATAATCTATATTTCCAGGCCACCAGTGTAAAGGAGTGGAGGGGTCAAAGCCCGATTGTTAAGGAGGGAGGAAGTGACTCACCTGTTCACCGTAATGATAAAGCTACTTAAACATCAAGGAACCACGAGTGAGAGACAAATACTCACTGTGACCTGTTTGTACTGAATACTAGGATCCATTTTAGGTCTCTTTAGGCAAAATGCCAAAGGAATAAAACTGAGTGAGGAGATCTGAGGTGTATCAAGCTTCAGAAATGAACTTGGATGATTGAAAAATGCAGCATATCCACTCATTATTTGCATTTTCACACATTGAGGACAAAAGTTAGAGTGACATGTACTCCAATATATAATAATAATGTGTGACAAATGCAGAATAAGGTGGAAAATTCCACCCCAGCGCAGCTTTACCCACATTACTGTGCAGGAGATTCTGCATATGAAGACTGAGAATCAGAGCAGTTTTTGACATGTTATGACATTGTAGATGATCACACTCAGTTTATTCACATCCTGTCACCAAAAATCAAAGTGTACATGAAAAGAAATGTCTTGTAGATTGTCAGTGAGGACCTTTGTTACAGCTACACTAGCTATCTCTCTACACATTCCCCATCTGTCTGGACTGTCAAACTTTTAAAAAATGCTCCATCTCTGTGGTTTTTGGACTTGTTGATAACATTATTATAAAAGCTCAGTTCAGTGAATTGCTGCTTTAAGCGCATACACATTGTGCAATGTGTATGTATGCATTTCTTTTAACCTTTGCTTTGCTACTTTTGAACGTTTGGACATTTTATTTAAATTATTTGTCTCTTCTTTGTTTCTTTCCCTGGATCTTCGCAGAGTGAGACCAGTCCTTTGCTGTCTTTGCCTGTAAACTTTGTAACCCCTTACTTTAAAATCATTTGATTCAACTGAATGTTTTCACTTATATTCTCCTTCTCTTAATTTATTCACTGTTATTTCTGTTTTCTTGCCAATTAAATTGCGGATGTTCTTGTGTCTTGTTCTGTCTGCTTAATATGAAATTATTTTATAACTTTCGCTTTGAAAAGCACAATATGAAATAACTACGTGCTCTGTGCAGTCGTACAGTCGTAGGTCCCTCCCTGTTAAATCAGTGCCAGACTAAAACAGGCGCTCCTGCCGCTGATTGGCTGCGCGCTGGGCTCCAATCACTGAGCTGTAGTGATTCCTCTCACACACACCGGAGCGGACGGCTTGCAAAGTTGCGGCTCAGCTGAATGCCAAACTGAGAAAACACAACGAGGTTTCGACTAAAGGACGGATTTACCTTTTCATTTGACTACACCTCAAAGGAAATAAGAGAGCGCCGGACAATCTGGATTAACTCACACCATTGCCTCTAAATGGACTCTCTCGGACTCAAACGACCGAGGACGATCTTTGACGAGAAAAGGACGCACTTCTCATTATAAATATGATTATTGTGTTTGTTTAAAACGCCACCAGCTTGGGAAATTTAAGTGAGGATGACCGCCCTCATGAGGAAGGTGCAGCAGGTGCTGTGCGTCCTGCTGCCGTTTGCTCTCCAACTCTGCAGCGCGCAGACACCAGAAGGTGGGCTCAAACACACACACACACACACACACACACACACACAAGATCAACTTTTCTGTCCAATTTCATCACATTTCATGCTCAAGTAACCGGAAACATCTCTTAAAGTTCCCAGTGTGTTTGTGACAAATCCCTGTGAACACCTGGATTAGAGCTGTTTACTTCGCAGAGTGCTCTGGTGTAGGGAAACACCTGCCCTCCCTCACTAACCCCAAACACCAGAACCTGTTCCGCACACGTAAAACTTGTTTGCTGTGACTCACCTGCACCTCTCCCACGACTCTGTGTGTGCTTTACCGTGCTTGTTTCAATTGTTTCAAGGTTTTTTTTGCGACAGAGGAGCCCAACCTTTCACCGCCTGTTGACTGACGACCGCAGTCAGCTCCAAAAGAGCTTTACAATGGAAAACTTTGCCTCTGATATGTTCAAATAACCGCCTCTCGGTGTAGGCAGTGGTGGGAGAAGTATTCAGATTTATTAGTTAGGTCAAAGGAAGCTCTAACAAAGTAAAAATACTCTAATACAAGCAGAAATCCTGCTTTTAATAGTAAAAGTACACATATTACACAAGTATTAGTAACAAACTGTACTTTTTAGGGAGCAGAATAGCGCTATAAGTATAGCAAAATGAATATATATAAGCAATATTTTAATGTTGTACCTGGTTGAAGTGGAACAACTTTTAACTGATTTGTACACTGGTGGGTTGTTTAATCTTGATTTAATTTGATTTGTTCTTCGGATGATCTTTGAAGTAAATAGTCTCCAACTGATTTATTTTCATTATTTTCATTCACACCAATCAATCAATCAATCATTCTTAATATTATCATATTTAAACCATATTCAGACATTTTAACTGATTCAATTTAACTGTTTTCACAATTAACAGATTACTGATTTTATGTAATATGAAAATGAAAATTGATGCAAATGATTAATAATAAACTATGCTATGATTGATTTTTCAGAGTGTACTCTCCATTCCAGTTTGGTCAATATTAGAAAATATTAAAGATAAGCAACAAATGCTAACTATTGAGAAGCTGGGACTTTTGTAATTTTGCTTAAAAAATGCTTAAAAAAAACTATCAAATTAGCAAAACAGTTAATCATCAATTAATCAACTGGTTGATTCCACTCTAGTAGCTAATTGTGATTAAATACTTCCTTTTGAAATATGGTGTAGAAAGAAGCATTAGCAAGTACAGCACTCTAGTAAATGTACTTAGTTACTTTCCACCTCTGAGGTGAGTGTTATGTTTGAGGCAGAGAGCGGTGTTGTGATTTGAATTGCAGTGACTCTGTGAACTTTGACCTTGTGCTCTTGTCAGGAGAATCAAGTGGCACTCTGAGTTTGAGAAAAACAATGTTAACATGAGATCATCAATTTCAGTGCAGCTGATGCTCAGGTGACAGAAGTACAATACTAAACCATCTTTACATTCAAGAGCCGAGCACTGATGTAAACCTATAATTGAAACATTTGTTTCTTCTCATGGTCAAGTCTTTACAAAAATGTAAGTAAAATTATAATAAAAAGTTTTTAGGAGTATGTTTTAATGTCAGATCAGTCCTGGTCTTTTAGCTTGGCTTTGTTTCTGTTATAACCAGTTATGAAAGAGGTTGCTGTTTTGTCTATATGTCAACCTGTGTATGAACATATCACATTACATAGTTGCAATACATTATTGTTATCTGGCCAGTTGTAATAGAATAACTAATAGTAGTATAGTTTATTGTGTGCTGGGGGCTTTTTATGTTACACTTCAGAACTAATTGACATTTTAGGTGCTTGCTTCACTTTCCTGCAAGAAGCACAGGTTTGATTGTGAAAGTGATTTTTACATATTTGTGTGCCCATGAAGCATAAGACACACATATTAACATTGTGAATCAACACCACAGGTATTGCCAACTCTTAACTTTCCTTTTTAGATATAGGAAGTGTTTAAATTTTCAATTGCACAAATATTAACATGAGAAGCATGTCAGTTCAATGCCTCGGATGTTAAACATTTGACGTATCCAAAGGAGCTCAGCTTGGAAGTGTAAAATGTAATTTAGGTGGAGCCTCTTTAAATTGCTCCTGTACTTTTACAGGTGTGACATTCAAATAACTGATGCGTCAAAAAGCAAATATGCTGTCGCTCCTGTTGCCAAAGCATGATGTTGAGCAACTCTTTGCGTCAACCTCAGTCTGTTCACTAAAGTTTTGAAGAGTCCTGCACATTGGCAGAAAAGAAAACTTTGAGTTCTTTTGCAAACAAGCTCTGGCTATGAAATAGTTCATGTGCTCAGGTGTCTGTCTTTGTGTTTGCGCGTGCGTGTGTGTGTGTGCATGCTCACTTGCCAGGTATGCAGTAATCTCTGGACATCTTGTGCCAAGTTTCTGTTTACCTCAGTCATCGTCTCAACTGCTTTATTGAGCTTGTTTATCTCCTCCTCCCTCTTTTCTTTTCTTTCTCTCCCTCTCTTCTTTTCGAGTATTGAAACCCTGGTAACAGACAATTGAAAATAACAGCTGAACCTGATCCGTGTTATGTTTTCGTCATGTGTTGGGTTACGCTATAGTGCCGAAGACAATGGCACCATTTTTCTTTGAGTTCATGTGCAGTATATGACAGTAAGTAGTAGAATAAGCAGACATACTGCAGTGTGTGTAAGGAGTGACACAGAGAGTAAAGTATCTGTGCAGATACATCTTGATGCACAAAGACACTTGTTTTGCAGTCTTTCAAAACAGGGCCATTGTGTGCATGTGTGTGTGTGTGTTAATGTGTGTGGTGACTCTAAACCCCCCACTCCTTTTTTCTCCATCATCCATCTGCCAACACTGAAAGTCCTCCTTTGACAGAGAAAACCCACTCAGCCAGTTGAGGTTTTCAGCTTCCACAGCTGCAGCGTGTGTACTGTCTGTATAGCTGAGGTTGTCACATACTGTATTGGTTTACCGCCCTCTAGAGTGGGCTGTGCTTGCACTGTATGCATACTGTACATACTGCAGCCTGTGGAAGGTTCTTGATGTTTCACAACTATTTCCCAACAGGCAATTCAAACAGTGTACAGAGTCAACAGCTCAAGTCATCCACTGATAGCACTGAGCTGCTTTCAGTGCTTAACTAAGGTGGGGTAGATAAAGAGCGTCACGGTTGAGCAGCTCATAAACTGACATCATTTCAACTGAATGGCTTTTAATGAGCAAAACTTAGTCATAGCAACTTAATGTGATATTCCTGACATAGAGCAATATATAGAAATGGCCCGTGCTACAGCAAACATGGCAGTGAATGTCAAAGAAAGCATGTGTCATTGAGGGGATACTCCAGTGATTTCACTTGCATGAATCAGTTCCTTTAAGCTCTGCAGGTGCTGGAATGATTTTGTTACCCTCAAACAGATGCAGGCTAACTGCTTCCCTCTGTTTCCAGTCTTTGTGCTAAGCTAAGCTAACAGCCTTCAAACCTTTAGCTTTATGTACCACTGACCAATATCTTCTCATCTAACTGTCGACAAGAAAGGGAAGTTTCCACGAAAACGATGTAATATGTTAAAATATCAAATGTAGTATATTGATCTGGTGTGATACGTGACTAGCAATCGGCAGCTATCATGAAATAATGCACCAAAACTCCCAAGTCAGAACAAATGGAGATTTTAAATACTCATGTCTTTTAAATTTTATGTCCTCAGTTTTCAAACACATGGTTAAAACCATTTAACCTCCTCACCCTGATGACACTATTATGTGTCCAAGTGTTAAGATATTTAAACATATCCACCTATTATGAAATCTGGCTCTGCTCCCATCTGTCTCCACTGTGAATTGTATTTGTGTTGCTAAACAAATTGAAAAATTACATTTAAAGTAATCAAAAGCAATGTGTTCCCAGAAACAATACCCAGATTATTCTTGATAATCCACAGATGTTCCTGTTATGACTGAGACATTATTTCTGGAAATAAAGCCTTGAATAGCGTAAACAAAATTCCATTCACCTCTGTTGTATTGCGGTGGCGGCAGGACTTTCCAAATGACATATTTATAGATATCTTAAAATAATACCAAAACTACCTGCATAGCTGGACACCATGCAGGTAGGAGATATATGTGTTTTTATGATTTGAGGTAACTGACCCTTTGATACCGTTTAGTACAGAGCTTATACTTGTGAACCCAATGTTCTCAGAAACACAATAAAGAGTCTTATCAAGAACTTTATGGACATAGGACGTTGTCTCTCTCTCTCTCTCTCTTTCTCTCCCTCACACACACACACACACACACACACACACACACTTTAACCTCCCCTCTTGTGCCTGTGAGGTTAATAATCATTAGCCTTTTTATGCCCTTGTTGATCCTGTTGTTCTACTCGGCTCTATTTTGACTCCGATGTCAGTAGATGGAATGTGTTTATGTGTCAAGCATACTTCATGTGTGCGTGTGACCTGCTGTGTGTGAGTGTGGTTTTATGTAGATTGTAGAACTACTACAACAACAACAAGTGTATTGTGGAGATGTTTTTTTCTCTCTTCACATAATAGTAAATAAATAATCAGAGTTGACTTGGTTTATGATTATAGATAAACTGAGGTTCAGTTCAGTTCACCCAAATGACAAATAACATTTTCACTATTACTTCTGGTAGTAGACGTGCAGAAGGTATTGGAAATTCAGTAGAAAAATGTCTTAACAGAAACAGAAACAGTGTCCTAATTACTAAAGACAAAATAGTCCCTGAATGAAAACAGTTTTTTCTGATTATCCAGAATAACTGTGACACTATTCTTGTAGAGATATGTTGCTGTTGATTGTTTTAGTCCAATTTTGCAGTGGTATGAGCACTTTAAAGGAACTTACATTTCTCTCTGCTGTAGTGGCATAAATCTCAGAGGCAGATATCACAAACTCTTGACAAATAAAACCCCAAATTATCGACACGGCTGTGTACTGCTAGAAGGAAGTGAGAAAATGTTAAGGGAAAAGTTGGCAGAGAATGAGTCATGTCTTTTTTAGTGCAGATTTGGACTAGTATTTGGAAAGTGTGTGGAGGTTCATACAAAAAGGTTATCCTATGTGCTGCTCAACCTCCACTTTTCTGTTAAGACTCACCACCAAGATTTTGGAGCCTCATTGCAGGGATTTGCTCCCATTCAGCTACAAGAGTGTTCGTGAGGTCAGTGATTCATCCCAAAGTTGGATGGGTTTAAGTTCAGGGTTCTGTGCTCTCTGTCAAGCTCTTCCACACTAAATAGGAAAACTATGTCTTTATGGATACTGAGAGACCTCTGCCTCAAAGTCTGAAGCTCATTATTATTTAAAGTATCAATAAAAACAACCCCAGATCAAAAGTATGCAGGCATATTGTGTATATATGACAACATGTAAGCGTGTGTTGGTATTTTTGAACAAAGTAATGACACTGAGATCAACAGTGATGGTTTAATTTTCTGTCCTCTGTGTCCTTCCCTTTCTTCCATTTTCTCTCTGCTGTTTCTCTCCTGTCTGACATTTGAATAGCAAAGCAGCCTTCAAGTGACACTGAATGGCTGAACTCCCACAGACCATAAACAAGGCCTTGTATGTTTGTCTCAAAGAAGGACATGCCCTGTACACAATCCTCAGCTTGTTTCACAATGTTACAGTACATTCATTGATATTGTGTGAGCAAAACACAGTGGCTTGTAGTAAGTGGCATAAAACATTCTTTATAAGGGCTCACACTGTTCCCTCATAAATGATTTAATAGAATATGCATAGTTTTATTGGTATTGTGATACCACAGCGTGAATATCAGTGAAATGTTTTTCCTTTTTAACTTCTGTGGTACTACACCCTGTTCTTCACACTGAGCAAAGATGCCTAAACTAATATACTACTGATAACTGACTTATGATACTTAAAACTGTAAAATGACATGACTTAAGACATAAAGCTAGTTCTCTATTTTTCTTTTTGACAACAAGTCCCATGAAAACCAACAATACATTTGTCTGTCTCTCATTACTTTCCAATTTCCCCAACTATCTGTAGTATTCAGCCCCAAGGCCACTGGTTTGTACTGAGGATGTATATGGGTCACAAAGAGAGCCAAAGTCATAACGTCACATCTGGGCTATTGCCTCTAGCTTCTGTAACTCAGTGCATTCAGCATTTCTTTCATCAGTCTTTCTGACAAAATCAAGCGTGTTACTGGGCTTTACTTTCCATATACTATAAGACAATATAGCAAACAGTTGCTATAAGCAACATTCATGACTGATGAAGAAAGTTACATTTACTTTGTGAGCACAGAAAAAAAACACAGCTCCCATGAAAAATGACCAGCAGAGCAGGGTGTCAAAACTGGTTTGGAGCAAGTTTTGTCCATATTCATCCACTTTCTATTCTTTGCCATCCTATAACTTATAAAAGTGTTCAGTCTTCTCTGTTCAGCTGTTATCATACATGTCAAGTTGTGATGTTTAGCCCGCTAATGTCGAAAACACAGAAATACTGAAAGAAATTCAAAAAACTATTGTCTTTATCGAAACATATGAAGCGAACCACACAACATACTGTTGAGAAATGCTCTTGTCCAAGTCTGTATTTTTAGTTATTTCATAGCTACAAATGTCAATAGGATTTTGAGGGAGATACTTTTGGAACAGATCAGTTCTGATCCAATATGTTCTCATTTAAAAAAGGCGACATTGTTTCCAAAAAGAGCTGGGCACTAGTAGTTTTTACCAAACATTACTCAAACAGTAAATAGTTTATTCGTGTGGGACAATTTTCAACTGTGAAATAAGTAGTTAGTATACAGCAGCAGGACTGTGTATGTGGGATCAATAAAACAAAACTACAGTACCCATGTTTGTAGAAATGAAGGAATGTGTCACAGAGTTTGTGACAGTGTGACTTACTGATCTGTATTTAATAATTCTTGGACAACAGCAGAGGAGTAAGCTATATCAGGCTTTGGATACTCAAACAACACCTGTAAAAATAATCAATTTATTGTTGGTTTGGGGCTTTTCATAGGATTTGTTGACAATAAGACATTAAACAACACCAGACTTATCCTTAAAATCTGTGTACTTAATCTTAACACATTGCCATTAAATCCCCTCATTAACAAGAGTTCATTCTTTACTCTTCCAGTGGCTGTTTGTTACGGCACACAGAACGCTCTGAGCACAACGGGAAATTCAGACATCCAGTACAACCTGATGAAGAAGATGTACACCGGCTGTGAGATTGTGATGGGAAACCTCGAGATTACCATGATGGAACACACCAGAGACTTCTCCTTCCTAGGGGTGAGGTTTTTAACACATGGAGGATAACAAGACTGTGGATGGGACAGTACTCCTTACACAGAACTACAGTATACGTACAGTGTGTGTCACTGAGAACAACTGCGTGGTAACCAGTCCAGACAAGGACATAGATCAACCTAATGCCAGAAACAATGTTTGGCAGAGTATAGTGGATAATGTGTCTGTCTCAAATGCACAATGACCTCATTTATGTCCCACTCCAAGTCCTTTTCCAAATAAATCACTGCACTACAGACACGGTGACTAACAGCACATGAAAAACACACCTGTGCTGCCAGGTTGTGTCTCTGATAACAATCACTATGACTAACAAAGAAGGTATGTTTATTTCCATTAATTTGTCTTTCTTATAATTTTTAACTCCGCAGTCTATCAGGGAGGTGACAGGCTACATCCTGTTCGCCCTCAACAGGTTCAGCCGCCTTCCTCTGGACCAACTGCGCGTCATCAGAGGCACCACGCTGTACGAGAACAAGTACGCTTTAGCCGTATTGATCAACTACCGGAAGGACGGGCAGCATGGCCTGCAAGAGCTGGGCCTGACACACCTTACAGGTACACAGGCAGACTCTCAGTTAGTGTGTTTAAGTGTAGGAGGCTGTAGTGCAGCAATAAGAGCTTGCACTGGATGTGACTCTCAGCTACTGTTGGAGCTCCCTCGCCCACACAGTGCTGCCACACCTTCAGAGTACCGGTCATCAGACAGCAGCGGTGTGTGTAGTCGCTGTGATGTGAAGTCCCTGGAATGTCTCATGCGCTCAACTGCTCAACCGCCAGTGTAACATGAGCTGTAGCACATTATACTGAGTTTGTATGTGCTGTAGTAAACAGCAAATGGCAGAGTTTGATAGGATGAGTCATGGGCCTGTTCGGGCTTGTTTTGCTAATTGTCTTCCCCCATTTAAATGTTTGTGTGCCGCCCACAGAGATACTGGAGGGAGGAGTCCAGATCATCCAGAATAAGTACCTGAGCTACGCCCCCCAGGTGAACTGGCTGGACATAGTGAAGGATGGAACAGCTCATATTATGATTGAGGAAAATGGGCCTGACAGTGAGTGGAAAGGATTATTAATTACACACATGAGCATCAGTTACCTTCTCTGCTTTAAGATGTAAAACTGCATCTACTGATAATAAGTGTTATGATTATATCTTAGAGCCTTGCAACGAAGCATGTGACGCTCAGTGTTGGGGTCCGGGAAATGACACATGCCAAATCTGTGAGTAACATTATCAGCATTCCTTTCTTTTCCCATGAATCAACTCAGTGCTGAGAAGCGATGGTTCCCATGTGGGTGTTGTTGCCCGTAGGGTGCCCTAAAGATGAGCCATGGGTGCAGCAACATTTGTTGATTTCCAAAAATGTTTTACCACATTAAAAACTATGAGGCAACATTTACGTTTTCAAACATCAAAACAGAAGAAAAAAACGCACTAAAATCACCACATTAAAAACACAAAATAATCAGTTATCATAGTAACTGATTATTTAGGAGTTCCTGTCAGAGTCAGCAATAGTAGTTTTGTCTCTGTGAACAGAGCTTAAAAAATGCTGATCTCAAGGCTCAACACAAAACGAAAAAGATATATTTTACTAATAACCATGGTGTAATTTCTAGCTAAAGTTGCATGGTAGCTCACCTGGTAGAGCTGGCACCCGATGGTACCCCTTCCTGTCCATCTTGGGCTGTCCTATCAAATAAAGGCAAAAAGCTCCAAAAAGATATTTAGAAAACGTTGCATGGATGGATGAATGGATGATGTAAGCATGGACATTGAGGGTGCAATGAAAAACTATTGATATGAAGCCGTATCTTGGTTTAAATAAGTTTGGGAACCACTGTTACAGTTCAGTTCAGTTGACATTGGAAATAGATGTTTACATTGCTGAAGCTAGTATAAGATGTATGTATATACAGATTTGGAGAAAGTAGATTAAAATGACACAAATACAAATAAGTAGAATATAATTGACAAATATACTCTTAACTCTCTTTCAGTGACAAAGACTGTGTGCGCCCCGCAGTGTAACGGCCGATGCTTTGGTAGAAGCCCAAGCGAGTGTTGCCACATTGAGTGCGCTGGAGGCTGCACTGGACCCCTGGACACAGACTGCTTTGTGAGTCTGCAGCTTCAATACGCCTTTTTCACAGGAGGCATGTCACGAAAGCACAGGTGTAAATAATAAAATTACTGATGGCTTAATTCCGTTTACCTGCTTTAGTTTCAGGTTCTTATTGTGCATCCAGGCTCACTGTCATTGGTTACTGGGGCACTTGACCAGGGTCATCATTAATGTTATTTGTAGCACCTGTGCTGTTCCTGTTACGACAAGTCAAAATGTCTCCTGTGAAAAAAATGCCTTCATAGACACAAACACAAACATATCTACAAGCTTTGTTGCTGAATTTGTGTTTCCATGTTGTTGTTTTACAGGCTTGCAGAAACTTCAACAACTCGGGCTCCTGTGTGCCTCTGTGTCCCCAGACCCTTATCTACAACAAGCACACATTCAAACTGGAGCCCAACCCCAATGCCAAGTACCAGTATGGCTCCATCTGTGTGGCCCAGTGCCCCGGTGAGTCCCCACACACACTGCCTTATACCCACATGTTGACACAGACTCACAGATGCTGTTCTCTCCATACCATCAATGCAGTTTTTATGTTCATCCAAAAAGCTAAAGCTCCATACACTACACCGCCGCTACTTGTATCTTAAGTTGCTTGTGTATATTTTTAGTTTAGTGTTGTCCAAGACATTTATTCCAGACACTTTCTTTCAGCAAATTTTCTGGTGGATGGCAGCTCATGTGTCAGCACTTGCCCGTCTGATAAAATGGAGGTGGAGAAAAATGGATTGAAAAAATGTGAACCATGTGGAGGCCTCTGTCCAAAAGGTATTCAACCAAACTCAACATCACAATGTCAAGACAGTTGTTTTAATGCAACTGAGATACAAACTAAGATAACCTGGTTTAATAAGTATCCTTTACATTAAAAAACATTGTAAATAGTATTAAAAGTAAATGTTCAGCATTCAAAATGTTATATTATATTATTTCTAATGCATTAATGTGTAAATATACAAAAAATATGGTGGTGAGTTTTGAGTTGCTCACAATGTTTTTATGTAAAATCAGAATCTGCAAAGTATTTATCGCTGTCAAATAAATGTATTGGAGTAAAAAGTATTAATATTAATATTATTAACTTTTATTAAATGAAACATAAAAACTATAATATTTGGGCAAATGTCCTCAGTTACTTTCCACCTCTGCTGGTTTGTTCTGACTAATTTCATAAGCTCTTCTCATATTCTTTGTCTTCTTCTTCATCTTCCTTACAGCTTGCCACGGCACAGGGAGTCCAACCCGACAGACTGTCGATGCTTTTAACATCGACAGTTTCATAAACTGCACTAAGATCCAGGGCAGTCTGCACTTCCTGGTGACTGGAATCAATGGGTAAACTTATAATAGTCCCCTTTATGAGAGTTTTTACAGTCTTTTGTAATTTTAGCATTATTACCTGTGCTTTATGGATTCTTTTAAGCAAAATGGCTTTATTGTTTCTTGTTCTTTCTCCGTTCAGTGATGAATACAACGATGTGCCACCCCTCAATCCAGAGAAACTGAAAATCTTCAACACTGTGAGGGAGATTACAGGTGTGTGTGTGTGTGTGTGTGTGTGTGTGTGTTTGTTATTAATGTAGCATCATAATGTTACATTTGCAGTATGTTTAAAACTGAAACACAATATCTCCAATTTTAGACATCCTCAGTATCCAGTCGTGGCCTAAAAACATGTCTGACCTGTCCGTCTTCTCCAACCTCCAAACAATTCAGGGCAGGACACTTTACAAGTGAGCAGTTGTTTTTTTTCCACTCCCTTGTTCTAACATTGTTGTTGTTTCTCTTGTTGACTAAGGTCATGTCACCATCATTTTGTTGTATCTAGTGTGTGTTTTTTCTGTTTTATTTGTCGTTTTTTTTAGTTATTTACCAATTTTTTTCTGTATTATTTTGCCTTTTTCTGAGTCATTCCACGTACACGCACTGTTGGGTCAGTTTATACGTGGTGTATTTAAATTGTGCTTCTGATAAATAAGAAATTTACTACTACTTGTACGGTACTTACTTACTTACTATCTTTCACTGCACTGCAGATTAACCTTGATGTGAATCTGATTGTCCTTTTGAATCTTGTATCTCTTTCTTCCCTTATTATATGTTATTTTACCCCATTTAGAGGAGTGAGCACAAAAAGGTACAGTAAATATTTCACATGCCCACCTGTATCCGCCTCTTAAAGTACAACATCTTTAATATAAATGTTCTACATTATTCTTGCAGGGCATAGTCAGGACTGGGATTGTGTGATTGAGTTGGTGGTGGACATAACTCTTTGAGTTTACATGGTCTTCTTGCATGCTCTTTCTGGTGAAAATTTATATTTAGTTGCAAAATTTTGGACTCTAAAAGTCTGGTTGTATTTTATGGAAGCAAATAAAGGCCCACATGATTTCAATCTTATAAGCAACTTAATACCTAATTGTGAAATTTAATCACTACTGACTACTAGTAAGTAATGTTAAAATTTAAATACCACAGCGTTTATGCTGAAGCACTGCAGTATTTCACATTAAAAACTGTTTGTATTAATTACAAGTTCTGCAATTTCAAAGTTATGAAGAAAATACAAGTGTCCACTGAATTGAAGCCAAGTCAAAAACTCGAATTTCTCAAATTGGATTGGTGAAATTCAGACAACCCAAAATTCAAAATGACAAATTCAAACTTTAACACTTAATAATAAGATACCAAACCGCAGTAAAGTTAGACCTTTGTCTTTTCAGTTTATTTTCTGCCATTGATGCGATCCAAAAGAAGTTCAGATGAACAACTGGAAATTTGACACATTAATCTTTAGATCTGAAAAATTCATGTCTGAAAAACTTGAAATTACTCTCTGAGAAACCTGTCTTTGCTTCCATAGTATTTTAAATACAATCACAAAAGTATTCATTTCTCATATTAACATTCACTTCTTGCTATTTCAGGGGCTACTCTCTCCTGGTGATGAAGATCTCCTCTTTGACCTCCCTGGGGTTACGCTCGCTGCAAAAAATAAACGACGGTGGCGTCTACATCACGGGTAACAAGAAGCTCTGCTACCATGACACTGTCAACTGGACGCGTATCTTGAGCAGCAGCTCCCGCCAGCAGCGACGCCAAAAGCAAATTGACATTAAGGACAACAGACGAAGAAATCAGTGTGGTGAGTGACCGGAGAATCATTTGTAACATCATTTGTCAGTGCTGATGATGATTTTTATAGTAATTTTTGTTCTGTTCTGTAGTTAATGACGGCCATGTGTGTGACCCCCTGTGCTCTTCTGATGGCTGCTGGGGTTCGGGGCCAAACCAGTGTGTGTCTTGTAAGAAATACAGCAGAGGAGGAACTTGCGTGCCAGACTGCATGTTCTTAACCGGGTCAGTGTTTACAAAACCACTAATAAAATGATTAATAATAATCACAGTGTTTGCCTTATTGTGAGTAATGTTTGCTGTGGTGTAGCTGCCCCAACTGTTTCAATCTTATCTGCAGTCCGTTGAAAAATTTTATTTCCCTGAATGCAGGGTGAGGCGGGAGTTTGCTTCTCCTTCAGGGGAGTGTATGCCATGCCACCCTGAGTGTAAGGTCCAGGCGGGGAAGGATACTTGCACAGGCCCAGTATGATTCTCTCTATTCTCTGTATTCTCTTTGGGTGTGCTGCTGCCACCTAATGGTGTTACAGTGGACATACTCCATACTGCCACTGACTTTGAGCCATTTCTTTCTCTTTGCAAACATTTGCCTCCTTTTGTCTGTCAACTAAACTGTCCCTCCTTCTGTTCAGGGAGCAGATCAGTGTGTAGCCTGCGCCAACCTGCAGGATGGCCCACACTGTGTCTCCTCATGTCCTGAGGGTGTCATGGGAGGGGAGGAAGTCATCTTTAAATACCCCAACAAGCAAGGCCGCTGTGAACCGTGCCACGTCAACTGTACCCAAGGGTAAGATATGAGTTGAGCTCTCTCTGTGTGTATTCATACGTATGTTGGTGTTTCCGTATTTCAAATGTAACCCTTTTCTGTGTTTAGGTGCTTCGGGCCAGGAATTGGAGACTGTGTGGGGTCATCCCGGTACATTTCTGGGTAAATTGCTCCTCTCAATCTGGCATGTGTAAAATTGTTTAGACATTTTGATTCAGTATCTGACAATGTTGACAATGTGACATCTCTTCTTCCTTTTCATTAGACAAGCGACCACAGCCATCGTACTGGGAGTGATTGCTGTTCTCTTCGTTTCATTCTCTGTTTTTATGCTGACTGTTCTGTACCGCCGAGGTCTTGCCATTCGCCGAAAGCGAGCTATGAGGAGATACATGGAGAGTGGAGAGGTCAGTCGGAGTCTGATGTTTTCATGGTGTTGTTATGTTTGAGTTAAGTTTATTTAACATATTCTCTGTGTGCCAACAGAGCTTTGAGCCTCTGGATCCCGGAGAGAAAGGGGCTAAAGTCCAGACTCGGACCCTGAAGCCCACAGAGCTGCGTAAGATCAAGCTGCTGGGTCACGGAGTGTTTGGATCAGTCTATAAGGTAGTGGTGATTGTCTATACAGTCTTCCTCTTGCACATTTATGATTCATTTAGCAAATTACGAATCTGTCTTATCTCACAGGGCATTTGGATTCCTGAGGGTGATACAGTGAAGCTTCCAGTGGCCATAAAGGTGATTCAAGATCGCTCTGGACGGCAGACCTTCAATGAGATGACAGATGTAAGAAAACATGACTTAGAAGAAAGCATCTTTTGTGTATCAAATACCTCCTGATGTTAGGCTCTGAAAAGCTTGTAGGTTGTTTTTTTGCAGAGTCACTGTGGATTCACAAAAGTTGCAATGGATTACCTTGGCAACCAAAAGTAACAGGCCAAAACGTATCTAAAGAAATGTCTCAAATCACTCCTACAGCACCTCTCTGCTGTTGATCTGTATGTGAACTAGGTTTATTTTTCTCCACAGCATAAATTATTGTCACATCCTCATACTTCCAACCTCCTGTAGAAGTGGCATACTTACAAATATATTGACCATGTGAGGATTATTTATTTATAATATATTGAACATACACAGAAGTCTATTATGTTGCAATTTTATGTTCAATGTCACCTTCGCTGTGCGTTGTCATTGGTTTCCTGTGAATCCATGCTGGCAACAGCTGCATTCCTCCATAAAGGAGCAATCCTCAAACTGTCAAGCCTTCAAGAGAGAATATTTGATACTTTTGCTATTTTTTCAATGGAGTATTCCCGTAAAACCTGAATTAGAGGTTGACATTTTTTTTAAAAACCCTTAATGATTGAACCTAAATGTTCACTGCAGCACATGTTGACGATGGGAAGCTTGGACCACATGAATGTTGTCAGGACCCTGGGTATCTGTCCCGGTGACAGCCTGCAGCTCGTCACTCAGCTCAACAGTCAGGGCTCTCTGCTGGAGCATGTAAGGAACTGCAAGAACAAACTCAGCCCGCAGAGGCTGCTCAACTGGTGTGTTCAAATTGCAAAGGTAAAGGGCCAACCCTTGTTTTGCTGGGTTTTTTTTTATACATTCGGACATGGTTTGGTCTATTCCACTGATAACCCAAGCACTTAAAAGCATTGTTGTCCTTTCTCGTTAGGGTATGTATTACCTGGAAGAGAACAGGGTGGTCCACAGGAACCTGGCTGCCAGAAATGTGCTCCTGAAGAATAACTACACCGCCCAGATCTCCGACTACGGCATTGCAGACCTGCTTTACCCTGATGACAAGAAGTACTTTTACAATGAGCTCAAGGTCCGTAGCCTGGCAGAAAAGATATGATAGACAAATGGACACTCAGTAAAATGATCAAAGTTCATTAAGAAAGCCTTTCACACTGTGAGACATTGCTCCCATTTTCTCACATTTATTGACTACTCAAGTAATCAACAGAGACATTTTCTGTTTACGTCTTTAGGCACCAATCAAATGGATGGCTTTAGAGAGCGTCTTGTTTCGCAGATACACACATCAGAGCGATGTCTGGAGTTATGGTGAGTTTCAAGCCACCTTACTGGATGTGTGGATGTTTCAGCTCTACCAGTTGTGCTGTTTCATGCCACAATTAATCTGTTCCCTTTTATTTAGGTGTGACAGTATGGGAGATGATGTCCTATGGGGCAGAGCCATATACTACAATGAGTCCACAAGAAGTTCCTGATCTACTGGAAAAGGGCGAGCGTCTGTCCCAGCCTCATATTTGCACCATTGATGTCTATATGGTCATGGTCAAATGTGAGTTCTTGTTTTCTATCTTTTAATACATGTTTTTTAGCCACGATAGCAGCGTTGCTCTAGGGATGGCAATCTTAGTTTGTCAGTCGGTCCACCCATTTGGTCTAGAATAGAATTGAGTGGTAAACAATGGCTCCTGTTTGTGATTTCCAGGTTGGATGATTGATGAGAATGTCCGTCCAACATTCAAAGAGCTCGCAAATGAATTTACCAGAATGGCCAGAGACCCTCCTCGCTACCTGGTGATCAAAGTAAGAAAGGCTGTTTATCAGTATCCAACCCAATTTTATTAATTCCACGGTGGACAGAAACCTTCTGATTATTAAGTAAAAGTGTACATGCAATATGCTAATCTCTGTCTCACATCGGTTCACTAGGAGGACTGCAGCCAACAGGACACAGCCCCGGATGAACTTGCCCAGCGGAGTGCAGACCTGGATGAACTGGATGATGTAGACATGGAGATGGTGGACCAGGAGGGGGAGGGGGTGGTAGATGGTCTGACTCCAGCTCCCCACTACCTGTCTCAGTCCAGGAGCCTCAGCCGCCTCTCAAGGCTGGACACTCACAGAGTAAGAGACAGCACTTCCTGTCAATTTTATGCCTGAAAAGGCCTTTTTTGTCACCTCCTGGATCTAAATATAATTTCTGTCTTTTCTTGTAAAGGTGGTTCTTACTACAAACATGGCTGGATACCTGCCTATGACCCCAGGTGTTGACATCCCAGGACAGGTAGGTAAAACACCAGCATCATCCTACTGCACATTACTACTCTTGTAATTTTACTAATTTAGGTTTGTTTGTGTTGTCTCCTGCAGGCCATGTGGCAGTCCCGCTCTCGTCTAAACTCAGCCCGCACTGTGTCTGAAAGCTCAGAGGGCTGCGGCACAACTGTGGAGCTGGAGATGAGTGAGGACTTTTCTCTGACAGGGAGCCTGAAGAGACGACGTCATCGCGAGGACAGCGCTTACTTGTCGCAGAGGGACAGCATGTCTGGCGGACCACCAGAGACTCCATCACCAGAGATGGAGGAAGAAGACCAGAATGGATATGTGCTTCCTGGAGACAGCCCAGAAAGAGGTGATAGCGTCATTCATACTTGTTGTCTATTGAAATTATACTGTCAATTTACGCGGCCATAACAATCTTCCCTGGAAAATTGGTAACAGCCCCATATGCCAGGTTCAGTTCTGCTGTGTAACAACCATCATTTTATAGAATGAATACAAGTTAATACTAGTTTCTTCATAGCTCCTACCTAATGATTTATTCTGAGACCACTGCTACTTCTAACTTTGTGCCATGTCAGATGTATTTGCAAAAGGTTATGTTGTTGTTTAAAGGAATAGTTTGACCTTAAACACATATTTGCTTTCTTGCCAAGAGAGAATAAATACCACTCTCATATGTTGAATAAGATACAGCTAAGCTAACATGCTGCTGGTGGTATATTCATGTTCACCATACAGACATGAGAGTGTCAGTCAAAGGACCAGTGTGTAGGATTTAGTAGCATTAATGGTGAAGTTGCAGATTACAACCAACTGAATTCAGCTCATCTTCTAAGTGTGTAGGAGAAACTTTGGTGGCTGCGTATCTTGCGAAAAAAGGGTGAACAGCCTTGAGCCAGTGTTTTTCCTCATCCTAATATTATGTCAAATGCCCTGGCAAAAAGTGAAAAACAACATAAAAGACAAAAAGGATGTACAGCTGCAATGTTTTGGGATTACATTTTCATCAGGCACCGCAAACATCAATTTGTCCATTTTTCTTTATTTTTCAGATACCCTACTCTCCACATCTCGAGCCACTGCTGGCAGGATGGGCAAGTCTCATTCATCGGGCCTGTTGGACGACCCAGATGATGAAGAATACGAGTATATGAACAAGCAAGTTTCGCCGAGGCACAACAGCCGCAGGCTGAAACCGAACAAGAAGCGCACCTCCTCCGTATCGTCACAAGTGACAGCATGCTCGAGTGTTTCCACACCATCCGTGGAGGTCAGGGGAGGTCACACGAGGAGCAGTCACAACTCCGACTCTGAGCAGCAAGGATCTAATGAAGTCGAGTATGAATACATGGACATCAGGGGTAGTGAAAAAGATGAAAGCCCTCCAGCGCATGACCCTCCTCCTCCTCCTCCTCCTCCTCTGACACCAGCAAGGATGGGCAAAGAGGCGGAGGATGAGGAGCGGGAGGAAGAGGAGGATGATGAATATGTGGAGGACAGTAACTATCATTACACAAACAGACAGCCGAAGCTGCGACAGGCTCTCCAAGACAGGAAGGAGCTGACAATACAAGGAAGGGACGAGGGGGAAGCGTATGAGTACGAGGACATGGACTGCTTTGCTACTCTGCGGCCTGACGACACAGTGGTGTACCAGAATTTGCAGAGAGAAAGGGAGGGAGCCGTAGGGCGCTCAGAGGCACGTCGATCTGGGTTTGAACCCTACGTAAAAGTGCGAGCTGGAGTCGGAGTTGGAGAACCGGCAGCCGGTGACAGATCTTTTGACAATCCAGACTACTGGCACAGCAGGATGTTCCTGAAGCCCAACGCAGTGCCTACATGAAGAACATTTTAAATCTCATCCCTCTGAGATGTATTCATGAAGGACCCGAAATCAAAAGCCATATCAATAATGTAGCCTATGACACAATTTCAAAACTCTCTCACAGCTTTGTTGTCTGCTACAGGCTGACGTTATGTCTCGTATTTAGGCCTGTGATTCAGGGCATTTCCAGAAATAATAGCACTGAGTGTCGAAAACACTAAAAGCAATCAACAGATTACAAGCTATATATTTTTCTGTTTACATTTTGAAATGAACAAAGCTTGTTTCAAAGAACAACAAAGTTTGGACTTCTGAGACCTCTTTCAATGATGATATATGAAATACATTTTCTACTCAATAAAAATATTTTGAATAGCTATTTTGAAGCACCAACTTTTTTTATTTTAACAGACTGCGTTACCACGTGTGTAAAACGTTCCACAGTTGGGTTTATTGAGGAACATGGAAATTAATATTGACCAAAATACATATGAACATTTGGTGGTCATAGTACAATTTCTGTAAATTTCCTCTTGTGATCAATAAATCTATTTCCAGAGCTTTCAGCCACATCTCATGGCCTTCATCAGGGAATTTGTTTTATGTTTGTTCAGTTTTTTGTGACCTCAGAAAAGAAAATAGGTGGTTTAATTTTGTTTTCTTCTATTGTCTATTTGCTATTATTACCTTATATTCTTCCAATTATTGCATGTATAACAAGGCCAGATCAACCACCAGGGGGACACGGGCAAAAATGAGCAGTGAGCCCTACTGACACACTATTCCTCCCGCTCTCCATGAACTGTGTATCCATCAAATATCCATCATGTATGGCCCACACAGAGATTTTATTATATTTTGCCTATCAACAGAAACCAGTACTTATATGCTAAAATACTGTCTGCAGTCCCTCACTTTCACCTCTACTCTACTAATGAATTTAAATACAAATTTAATTGAGAATGTATACCTTTATTACATTTAATAAAGATATTATGATGCATATTCCAAAACAAATTTGCATTTTCACTGTGGAATTAACCAGCCGATACACTGTTGCCCACTTTGACATAAACCTTTTTGCAAACTCAGGTTTTGAGGTTAGGATGTTCTCTGTATGGTTTCTGCAGGTTCATTACTGTATGGCAATCCATTTAGTAAATCATCTTAACTTGGTTGTCTGCTTCATATTCACTTTAAGGCTCATCACTCTCATTGAAAGCACACTGGGAGGGGATTGGTATGATTCCTGTTTAAATGTTCACACCTGACTAATGTTTTAAGATAAGCAAAACACAATTTCTTAGCAAAGATTTGATGTATATTAATTGAGGCTTGGGGAGTAATGGATTACATGTAATTTAGGTAACTGTAATCCATTACTGTAACAGTACTGTAACAGTTACATCAAGTAAAAATTGGGATTATTTATCAGGATTACAATTTTAAAATAAATCAGTTTTTCTTTAAAAATACAAGAGCAGAAGACCCATTTTGATATTAAAAATATTTCTATCTTCTTTTCTAAGGTTATTATCCTATTATCTTATAGAATACACTTTAATTCACTTTATCGATACTCGTCGATAATTATTTTCTCTTGTTTTCATTTGCATATTTGGTGTAACATAACGCAAAGTAATCAAGTTGCGTTACTTTAATTTTAAGAGGTAATTAGTAATTGTATGGGATTACATAATTAAAGTGCAGTCAACGGGCCGAACACGAGGCATCTCAGGCTGCATTTTTGGCGGGTTATGGTCGCGGTGACGTCGTTGTCGTCACAGGAAGTGGGAGGGGCTTGTCGGGCAGCAGGAGGCCGGTGTTAGCAGCGACCGTCAGAGCCGAGCCGAGCCGAGCCGAGCCGCGGAGGAAACTGTCGCTGTTCAGGGGCCGACGAGCGACTGAAACTTCACTGCCAAGATGTCGGACGAGGAACAAGAGCAGACCGTAGCCGAGGATCTGGTGGTCACCAAGTACAAGATGG